CCAAAAATTCCTCCAAACATTTTTTCTTCCTTAAATTTAATTTTATCCACCAACTACCTACAGTATTCCTTCTGCACAGCTGCAGTTTGTCACAATTCTCACTCAATTCACAGCTGCTATTTTACTAAAAACTTTGTACTATTTTTTTAATTGAATAAAAAAGGAAACAAAGAAATAACAAAGAATTTAAATGGAAAAAACAAGGGGAATAAGTATTTAAAATTTGTAACAAAAGGATGAACTTTAAAATTAATTTTAGAAGATTACCGTAAATGCTCTAATTAAAGGCCGGCTCTATTAAAAGCCCATATCTAAAACAAACCCACTTAAGGAGATCCGTCAAAAAATACTCCCCTCTCTAATAAAAGTCCATGCAACGTGACCTATTAAAGAATTGTATGTAGACTTTTAGGGCTTTAACTGAAGCATTTACGGGTAATAATTTTTTTCAGTGTTAATTCCATTCAAGATAATCGAATGATTTCATAATTCTGCTTAGAGAATACCTAGATATATCCCTTTTATTTCAGGCATTTATCCCCTTAACTCTCATAAAAATGAGGGAAAAGCTGTTGTTGACATAAAATATTGCCTTATTTTGGAAGAATTATTGGCCATTTACTTAGCTAATCTTTTAACTTTTTGTTGGCTTTTTTACCTATTTATTATATAATATATAAATATTTTTGTATGGAAATTGAAGGGTGTGTTGATTTTTTATTTGTTTGCTGTTCACTTTTGGGGGATTTAAACTCGGAAAAGTGTAATATATTTATTTTTATATATTTGTTTGCTTATTAGCAACAAAAATGGCAAAAAGCTATGAAATTGTTTGAAAGATAGACAGATGTAAATGGCTAATAGGCATAGAATGGATGAGGGAAATTTAGATTTAAAAATTAAAAATGTATTTTATAAAAGTTACAGAAAGTGGATTAAGAAAAATAAATAATGGAAAACATTTTAAAATTCCAAATATATTCTCGATTAATTCCCCATCCTAACGAGAGATAGAAACAATAATATCTCTCCCCAAATGCCTAATTTCACGTTCAAAACTCAAATAATTCCCCCACCCAAAGATGGAGTGAAATATTACTTTTCGAGGGGAATTAATCGAGAAAATACCATTAGAAAAGGTAAATAAAAATAAGTAAAAATCTTTTGTTTAATTGATCCTTTTCGGCATTATTTCAATTAGTTTAGCGACAATTCGCAACAAGTTTCAAATTTTAGAGAAGCAAATAGATACTTGACCCTTTTTTTATTTCGCGAAATATTCCCGCATTTTTTTATTGTTTGGCAATTAATTGAAGTAAGCGCAAATATGGCAAAAAATTAAGAAAAAAGAAAAAAAAAGATTTAGCCGACAAAAGTAAAAATTCAAAAAGGCAATTGAGTTTTGAGTGGTAAAAAAAGTAAAATGAAGATGGGGAAGAATAAAAAGAAGAAAGTATTTTTTGTTTAAAAAAGAATTGGCACTTGGTGGCTAAAAACTTTTTAAAAAAATATTTTTTTTTGTTAATTTTGAAAAAATGAGGGAGAACAATTTTTGAGAAAAAAGTTAAAAGTACTTATAAAAATTAACAAAAAAAGAGGGAGCAGCACCGCGAACCCAAATGTACCGCCGAGCTATAACTTCGTTCTAAATAATCGAATCCGGGGTGCCTTAGTAGGTTCGACACGCTTCGACGAAAAGAAAAGATTTAACCCGACGTTGGAGTGTATCTGAAATGAAAATGTTGCAAAGAAATCTCCAAAAAATAAAAAAATAAATGAGAGAAATATATTTATGTAGAGGATAATTTCAAGGACATATATACCCATTTAATATATATCAACATCAAACCTATTTATAATTATCCATCTTTATCCATCTTTTCATCTTTTTAAATAAACTAGTAAGGCTACTGTCATTATAAAAAAAGAAGAATTCCCGCAATTTAACATTTTTAAGGTGTTATATTTTATTTAAAGTCAAGATAAGTAGAAAATATATGTTTAATGAACCGACAAAAAGAAAAAAAAACATAAATATAGTAAAAAAGGAAACATAAATAATAAATTATTAGAAAATAAATATAAAGAATTCCTAACTCCTAAACCCCCCCCCCTTCACAATTTTTTTAAAAATTTACTCCAGAAATCTGGCCCAAACATTCTAAAATATATACCGAGGTGCAGCTCGTCTCGTATCTCGTATTTTGCGACACGAGCTGCACCTCTGATATACTAAATATATTTGCTAATTATTTTTCAGTACATTTCGAGTTTATAATCCACTTCATATACCAGAAAACAAGTCCTCCTAATAATATTAGACCCTTCTCTCTCTCTTAAATTCTTTCCAAAATATTTATTTACTCAACAATTAATTGTTTTCCTGCTTCTTCCATTATTTACCTTTTCCCCTTCCTTACACCCTTCCATATTTCATGCCTTTCCAATTCATTGTTCTCATTTTATTCTCTCCTAAACAACAGCTATTATATTTACTCAATACCTCAATTTACTCAATACCGGTTCGTGCCTTGCCCTAATTGTTGAATTAAGGAAATAAGTAAAATGCGCCAAACTAAGTTGATGAATGAACTAAATAAATTTAAGTAAATTGAATAGGAAAGGAAAGGAGGAAGGGTATTACATGGAAGGAAATTGGAGAGAGAGGGAGGGAGAGGCACCTGCAAAACTAATTTGTGCTATTATAATGGTTGGATTTTTAGAAATAACATCTTACTTAAAATAAAATGAGAAGAAAAAAAAATAAATTTAAAAAAAGAATTATAAATTTTAAAAAATAACAAAAAAAATTGCACGGAATTTTAAATCATAAAAACAAAATAAAAACACTCTTGTAATATTATGTATAGCTACGGCCTTTGCGTATCGAAGACCATCCCCGACCTTCCCTTCCGAAGCAAAGTTGCGTTGTGAATAAATACGAATTACGATTACGAATTACGGCGTTTTTGAGTTACAAATTACGAAAATAGAAATTACGAAAAATATTGCAAAAAACCCTTTCGTACTTACAAATTAGTCATTAAATTTTCTAAACAAAAGGAAAAAAATATTTTATTTTCTCTCAGTTTCCCTATTGTTGATCGGTGGTTGAGTGGTTTGGAAGTTAGGTTTCACTCACTTTGATATTCTGTGAAGTTGTGTTATTGCGAAATAAGATTTTGGCGATTTTTTCTTCCAAAAATAAATTTTTTCTAACTTTGATTTTAAATATATAAATTTATTTTTTTAATAGTTTAAACTTGAAAAAAAACATTAAAAATTTTTACTCATGAATTTTCCAAAATTTTCGCCTGCGGCGCAGAAAAGTGATTGAGATTAAGAGAGAGAGATATAAAGAGATTAGATGGTGAAAAGTTCCCTGTGAAAGGTGAAATGTTCCCTGAGGAGTCGGTTTTCGGGTCGGGTTTTGGAAATTTTCATTGGTCGGGTTCGGGTTGAAAAAATGAAACCCGACCCTACTTATGGTTTTTAAAAACTAGGATGGAACCAATAACGTTGTTTCTGGTTAATAATCAGAACTACGTTTTTGGTTGAAAAAACTTGGTTAACACGTTTTTTGGTTAGCCTATTGACCTTTGGAGGATATAATGGGATATGGACGGATATCGGGGATATCATGGAAATTAAACGGATATCAAAGGCATAATAGGGGATGGGAAACGATACAAGCGCCCAGACATAATTGAAAATTGATATACTGTAACTCACAACTAGAGATTAGACCCTCACCTACGCCCAATTCTTAACAGAAATTATACGTAGTTAGTATCAGTGTTACCGCCCGAAACCCGAAACCCGGCCTTTTTTTGTACCCGATACCCGAAAAGAAAATTTTCCAACCCGAAACCCGTACCCGAAGATTTTTTGTACCCGCGGCAACCCTGTGAAGAATTTCTAGTTTTTTTTGAAATTTTTTTTAATTTTCAAAAAAATTAACGAAATATATAAGAGAACAACGATTGAAATTTTACTCTAGTAACTATAAATCTTTTTTAGATTTGTCACTAAACGTTTTGAATATAAACAAAATATTGCTGACTGGACACTAAACTTATTTTTGTTTATTTTTCTAGTTTAGCAGCATATTATCATCAAAATAAACATTATAGTAAACTATATCATTTAACTAAAACATTATTGTGTTTTTAATGTTAAAACATTTTTATTCAAGCTCATTTACAATTACAAAGCAAAAATAAACTTGAAAAAAGTTTTTTTAACTAACATAAGGGCAATGTTTTGTAAATGTAAAATAACCAACTTGAAAAGTTTTAAAACACAAAACACAGTTGAACAAAACATGTTTCACAATTTTACAAAACATTGTTGTTTGTTCAAAACTTTTTTTCAAGTTCAATGGGTAAGGCGACTGGCTCAATATTTTCATTGGGGTGGGTTCGAGTCCAGGGCTGGCAATGAGGTTTAAAAAATTTTTTCTTTTCAAAAATAAATGTTTTTAAACTTTGATTTTCATTTTAGATTTTTAAATTTATTTTTTTAATATTTTAAGCTTGAAAAAGCATAAAAATTTTAATTTAGTCATGAATTTGCAGAATTTTCGCCTGCGGCGCTGAAAATGGGAGAAAATTGGAGGATTAATGGAGATAAAGTGGAGGGATATTAGTATAGAATGGGATTTTATCAGGGTGGGATTTCACCAATATAGTGGATTTTACCAAGATATCCCTCTTAATTCCCAAATCCCACAATGTCTCTCTAATCTCTTACAAATTTGCCTCTCTCTATATCACCCAAAATCCTATTATTGAATATAGCTTGTCTCCTTACAATTTAGTTCACCAATACCCGAACACCCGAAACCCGTAACCCGAATTTTTTGCCAAACCCGAAACCCATGACCCGAAATTAAAACGCTCCAACCCGAAACCCGTACCCGAAGATTTTTTGTACCCGCGGCAACCCTGGTTAATATTTTTATTTTTTTCTAGGGCCAGTAAAGCAGAAAATTAGCTCAACCCTTATAAGAATAGTTTATTAAAAATCAACACATCAATGTCAGTTACTTTATTACTTGGTGCTCAATGGGGTGATGAAGGAAAGGGAAAGGTTAATTAATTCCTTAAATATTTTTATAAAATAAATAAATAAATTTTAGGTTTTGGATTATTTAATTGGGCATTACAAGGTTTTTTTTATTTTTTTTACTCATAAATTAATTTTTAAATATAAGATTGGTATTGTTGCTCGTTCTCAGGGAGGTAAAATTAAATTTAATCTTAAAAATTAAATATTTTGTGAAGGAAACAATGCTGGCCACACTGTAGTCGTTAACAATCACGAATATGATTTCCATCTTTTACCTTCTGGAATGGCTAGAAAGGAATGTGTAAATATAATTGGGAATGGTGTGGTCGTTAATTTGGATGCCTTATTTTCTGAAATTGAAAAGAATGGGTTTAAATTTGGAAATGGAGAAGATGAAGGGGACAGAAAGCTTTTTATTAGTGATTGTGCTCATTTGGTACTTCCTGTACATATTGAAGCTGATGGATTTCAAGAATCTTTGTTAGAAGAAAAAGCGTTAGGTTTTTTTGTGTTTTATATAATTCTGGGCAGTCGTCTAGTTTACATGGTCTCTAGAAAAAAAAGTGAGCAAGAAGTGCTCTGTCCGGTATTTTTGAGCTTTGTCAGTTGGTAAGCGAGTGTGCTGACATGAGTCTAATATTAGTTTAGATTCCGTTCATTTCGGTCCAGGGTTCGAAATGAATTCCAAGTTAATACTCGGGTGCAACTCAGCACACTCGATCCCAAACTTTAAAGAATACCCTAAAAGCACGTCCTACTTATTTTTCTAGGGTCCAGTAAACCAGATTACCTACAATTCTTAAATTTTTTTGAAATACTTGGTGATTCTAAAGAAAAAATTATTTTATTTTTTAGAAAATTAGGAACAACTAAAAGAGGAATAGGCCCTACTTATTCTAGTAAATGCTTTAGGATAGGTGTTCGTCTTGGAGATTTGTTAAATGACTCTCAAAACTTTGAAAAAAGGTTTTTTAATATTATTTTATGAACTTTGTTTTTTCTTTTCTTTCCTCCAAATATTAAAAATGGTCAGGATTAAATGCGGTACAAGCATTACTCTATGGCTATAAGTACCGGTTCTGTTTTTAGAAACAATGATGCGTTGATTGTGTTTATCACTACTTTTATTTCTAATAAGTTCACCCTTTTCCAAAAAGTTTTTAAAAGTTTAAAAAGGCCCTATTAACCCAGAGTTCTGCCATTGGTTCTAAAAAGCAGAACTTATAGCTATGGAGTAAGGTTTGTGCCATATTTTAAGTCTTGAGGAAAAAAGAAAGAGCAACGAAATTCAATTTTACGATTATTTTCAAGTATTTTTTTCAATTAAAGATATCGGGAACAAGTTAAATTTTATTCCAAAATATTTTCGAATATAAACACCAATGTTGATGCTGATCTTCAAAAATTAAAGGTTTTTAAATAATTTTTTTATCGAGATAATTTTAAATTTTAGGAGCATGCTTCTCGAATAAAAAAGCTTGGTTTAGCTTGCAACACAACAATGTTATTACATAAATATAGACAAGAAGGTCGAGCTATACTTGTTGAAGGTGCAAATGGGACTCTTTTGGATATTGATTTTGGTTAGTTTCTTAAAATAAAAGATTGGGAATATATTAATTTGGCAAACGGGCATATTGGGGTATTGTTTCGGAGAAGATAGCTTCTTGCATTTTACTTGGTTCTAAAACATGGATCTTTTCTTCAATAGGGCAATATAACTATCCAGAATCAATGGCCGTAGATCCCGAAATTAGTAAGGTAACTGTTCGTACATTGAAATATCTCGTCCCTATATGACCGCATCCAATTAATTTGTCTTTAAAATTTAGGGACATATCCATTCGTTACTTCTTCCAATTCAACAGCGGGTGGTGCTTGTACAGGTTTAGGAATTCCTCCAACTTGTATTACACGTATTGTGGGTATATCTAAAGCATATCAAACACGTGTTGGTTTTGGCCCTTTTCCAACGGAATTATTAAATAAAGACGGAACAGCAAATAAAGAAGGAGAAAAACTTCAACAAATGGTGCTGAATTTGGTGTTACTACTGGAAGGAAAAGACGTTGTGGATGGCTAGATTTGGTTTTACTGCGTTATTCTTGTATTATTAATGGATTTACATCGTAAAAAATAAATTAAAAATAAATTTTTTTAAGTTAATTTTTTAAAGTTTGGCAATTACAAAAGTGGATGTTTTGGATACATTTGAACAAATACAAGTTGGAATTGCTTATAATTTGGATGGAGTTGAGATTTTACATCCCCCAGGTTTTTCTTTATTCTAAAATATTCCTACAAATATTCTTTTCTTTAGCAACAATAAATGATTGGCACAAAATCAAAGTTGAATATAAAACATTTCCTGGTTGGATGTCTGACACTTCTAAAGCTAGAACTTTTGATCAATTGCCACAGGAATGTAGAGATTATCTTACTTTTATTGAACAAAATGTTAAAGTACCAATTGAATTTATTGGTGTTGGAAAGAGTAGAGATGCTTTAATTGTTTGTAACAAATTTGAATGAAAGGACCTTTTAATAGTTGAATTTTTTGTTTTTTTAAATTGTAACCGTAAAGTTTGGTTTTTGCTTTTAAATCGGTAAAAAGTCATTTGGTGATGATTCGAATTTCTTCGACCCCAAAGAAATTTAAAAACTTTCCGGTTATATAGTAAAATTAAAAATTTAGATATTGCTTTATTTGGCAAAAGTTTTCTCTTTTTAAAAATTTTTTGAAACAATAATCTTAAAAAAAGAAGGCTTTTGCATAATATTTTAATATGCATAACATCCAATTTTTAGATAAAAAAGATAAAAATTTTTAATTATTTTGTAATTTTAAGTTTTTTCTTAGACTTTATTTTTATTATTTAATTAGTGTTTTTGTTTTAAAATCTGATAGAAGACATGTCTTGGAAAAATACAGATCCTTTGGAATTATGGAAAACATCAACAACACTACCAATTAAAATTAAAGGGAATGATGAAGTGGAAGGGAGGTTTTTTTAATTTTTAAATTAAGGCACATTTTCTAATTAAAAAATTTTCTAAATTAGTTGTCAACAACCTCCACCTCCTGTTAGAAGTAGATTTTGGATGTCTGCCAACCAAATTGACTCAAGACAAAGAACCGATTATTTTTGGAAATTAATTTTGGCTTGGCCGGACGATTGGGAACGAAGAGCTGTTATTTGGACAAAGTCTGTGATTTGTGTTACAAATGCTTTGTCTGCTTTTTACATTAGTTAAACATTTTTATTTTTAACGGTCGAACCCAGAAGGTCAAGTCCCTGCTGTCAAATGACACACAGAAGATCATCCAAACATTGGGCCGATAAGGGGGACTCAAGATCAAGAATAAGTTGGTCTTTTCTAACTGACAGTTCATGTCCCTCAATTCCCCTTAATCCCAACAAATCCATATTAATCCGCCCAAATCCTTTATCCACCCAAATATTCTGATTTGGCCTTTTGGGTTGATCTCCTTTTTTAATTAAATTAATTTCTACTTTTTTTAGCAAATAAAATTACTGCTGATGTTTTTTTGATAGATCCAAAATTAAATTTCCTTCAAACACTTCGTCGAATTCCGGCAAGATCACCTTTTGTTATGGTTGCACCTATTGGATTTATTTCTCAAATGCTTACAATGACATTTATTTTTTATCCATATTTAATGTATGAAGGACAACTTAGTACTTTAAGTTTAACTGGAAGAGCTGTTGCTTTATCTCTTGGAATGGGAATGTTAATACCTTTATTTTCTGTTCCTCCTATTGCTAATAGTGCTGTAAGTTAATAACTATATAGAGAATAATTTAATACATCCACAGTTCCTCAGTCATCGCGAAAAACTTGGAATGCGAAAATTGCCAACTGGAAGTGTTTTTGATTTACTTGCTCAAACTTTTGAATGTACTCGTTCTGTCTGGCGTAAATTACCAGTTATTGCTGGAGTAAATATTGCAGCTGCTGGTATTGTTGTATGTTCTATGGCATGGGCTAGAAACAGGTGGGAGGATAGCTTCCAGAACTAATCAATTTTAAATTTTTAGAATTCACAGCAAACTGGATATCGATGCAGACTTAATCAACGAATTAGTAACTAATAGTGAATATTATCAAAATCAAAAAAGGGGAGTTATTGGGCAAAAACTTTATTCAATTGGTAGTTGGTTTACAAGTCCAAAAGTTCGCAATTTTTTTGAAAGAAAGCGTGTAAGTTCTCCAGATACTCCTCATGATATTTAAATATTTTTCTGAATATTGTTTTTGTTTTTTTTTGAATACATTTGGGTAAAGAATGTTAAACTTTTATTTTTATATTTCCTTAATTTGAATTTTAACGTTTCGTTCATATTCCAGTCGATTATATCTTAAAAAATAATTTTAAAATAAAAATAAATTCAAACCTCGGTCGTAGAAGTAAAAACGCAAAAATAGCTCCTAATACTGCACTCAATGTCCAGAAATCAATTGCCACTAAATTTTAGTTTGATTTTTTCCAAAAGGATATAAAATTTACATTTATAATTTCTTTTATCTTCGTATATCCAATCAACAGATTCTAAGGACTGCATAGTAAAAGTTAGCAAAAATAGTTGTAGTTGTCTGTAAATATTGATATAAAACAATCCTAGAAATCAAATTTCTGCACATTATGGATATCTCCATCCTAGTTTAGTCTCAGTTACTCTTTCCTATCATTTATTCTCTTCAAGCAATATACATAAGTGGAGTCGTAAAGATCATCACTAGAAGTTGTTTTCCTCTATGGGTCTTCCTAAGGTTTTTGGGATTTTTTTTCTATGGGTCTTTCTTTCTAATAATTCAATTCTAATGTTTTGATCCAGTGGGTTAACCCCCAAGATATTACCTCATCCCAGGGAAGGATAAAATAATTCAATCCCAGAATTTATGCTCTATTCAATTATTAAACAAAATTTTCAAAACAAACCCAGCAATAACAAGTATTCCAGAAGAAGAAGCTTCTGCAACTGGAAATGTACTTTCTACTCCTAATTCAAGACTTATTGGGAAAACAGGAATAGTAAATATTCCCAATATTGTAAAAAATATAAATAGAGCAATTAATACAAATATTCTATCAAATATTAAAGGATTGCGCAATAACTGAAAAAAATACTTTTGACAACAAATTAAAGTTGACGGATCCAAATAAAGACTGGATATCCAAAAATATCAGTTAGGATATCAAAAGATTTTCCAGAATCCGCCAACCCTACAACGAATATTTCTTACAAAATTTAATGAAGTTGCAGTAATGGCAATTCCAATATATGAACATTTAATAAATTCATTAAATTTTTTAGTACGGTCAACTATCCAACCACCAAAAATAGTAGAAAGAGTGCCAGCAAAAGCAGAAGAAGCTAGGAGGTCACCAGAGCTTATCTTATAATTTAAATTAAATTTTATTATAAAATTAAGAAGAAAAACTTTATTGTTGTCAAAACCTAAAACTACAAGTTGTTTGGAAGTAGTAAAGAAGATTGACCTTAAAAATAAAAATTGAAGTTTTTTCAAATTTTTAAAAACCATTGAAGGGCAAAAGCCATTCCAAAAGTAAGTGTTTGAATAAGAAAAGTACGAGAATTAAATAAAAGAAAAAGTCCGTTTGAAAATTCAGGTTTATCACAATCTGAAGAAGCTGAAGGTGGGGTTGGTGGCTTTTGTCTTGTGACAAGTAAACAAAATATCATTGTAAATGCAGAAAGTATCATCAAAAGTAAATTCTTAAAAAATGAGAATTTTTTAAGCCAAAAAATTTTGTAAAATTATACCACATAGAGAATGAGTAATTCTGTTTGTTGTGGATTGCTACTGCTTGACTTTTGTCCAAAAAGAAAACTAAAAGTTAGAGGGGCGATTGATCCAAGAAAAACACCAAAAGGATTAGCTAAATTAAATTCGTTATTATCTGGTTATTTCCCCCATTTTCCTTTTCTTCTGGTTCCTCCATTTTCCCATTTAAAGAAAGGAAGGCTAATATGTAAGATCAAGGAAATCTATAGCGATAAGTACCCAGCTCTGCTTTTTATAGATTATATTATATTATATGCATGTGTACCATAACTGGGTGAATAAGCTCTCTACTCCAATTAGATTTTTTGTGAATACAAAGTAGTGTCCGGCACTGCGGTACTACCGTCAGCACCGGAGCTGTACTATCGGTACCGTACTTCTCATATTTTGGAATTTTCGGTGTACTACTGTTACCGGTACCGGAAAAAACCCATTTGCCGAACAGTAGTACAAAGTATGATACACGCGCACGATATCGGATCATAAGTTATAAAATGCAGAGCCGGGTACTTCGCCATAGATTTCCTTGACCAATGTTTGCTTCCCTTCTTTCCTTTAACGTAGAAAATGAAATGAATTATATGTAGATACTCTTTAAAGGAAATCACAAACATAATCAAAAAAATGTTTATACCAATAAATGAAAGTGAGTTGGCCAATGCACGTTGATCCTCTCCAAACCAAAATTCTGCAACCTTAGGCGAAAGGCAAAGGAAAAATGGTTGGCTCATTGCTGCTATTATTTGTCCAAAATAAAGGAAAGGTAATCGAGCGGATTTTTCTAGTAATGGCAATGAGGAGATAAAACGAATAATTGCCCCACACAAATTTAGAGCAGCTCCCAAATGACACTGAAAAATAAGAAAAATAAATTTGGAAAAAAATACCGAAACACGAATTCCGTAACGATCAGTTATATACATCCCAAAAAGGCCGGTCAAAACACCAACAATTTGGAAAATTTGTGAAATCCAAGTTTCAACATCACATCCACTACCATTCCCCTCAAGTTCACCTCTACTGTTGTTATTAATAAAATTAATACAGTAAAAATCCTGTACAGCATCGTGGAGTGGTGCAAACGCAATCCATTGCTTAAGAAAATTTTTAAATTAATATTTAAATTGAGTCCATCCACCCCTAAATGCCTATTGACCCTAGAGACCTACAACTTTTGAAAAGGAATATTGAGGGATTAAAGGGGGATATTTAAGTACTCAGAAATCTATGGAAATAAGTACACAGTTCTGTCCGGATTGTGTACATAATTCTTGAATAGAGATCTCTCCATTCCCTTGAGCGCCTTAAATATTCCTCCAAATCCATCGATATTCCCTTTCTAAAGTTGTAAATCTCCAGAGTCAAACAGCATTTAGGCTGCATCCCTCAGTGTTGGCTCCTTTCAATTTAATAACTAACCGTAGCATTCGACAAGGCTAAAAGACACACAGCAGTCAAAACAATCCAACGTTGGGTGTATACCCTGTAGAAAGTAGGGTGTTCCACAACATTGGGTGAATTCATAGTTTAATTGTGGAAATAAATTGTAGCAAGTCAAACTCATCAGAAATATATAAAATCTGTTTTTACTAAAAAAACTCTTTTTTATATAATAATCAACAAATGTATATTTTACACGAAATAATCTCTCTAAAAACTAAAAAAAACAATTTAAATATTTATTAAATGTTTAATTACAAAAAAGACACAAAAACGTGTCAAAGTGAGACAGAGGAAGAATCCATTAACGAGAGAGAATTGGCATAAAAATATTTAAATTAATATTCTAAAAAAATTAAAAAGATGTTTTTTTATTCCGAAAATGCCTTTTTTCTCTCGTTAAAATTTAAATAACAAGTTTACTACCAAAAAATTTTTTTAACAAGTCAACCTCCCTCACCCTATTTTCTTTAAAACATTATAAGCTACAGGGAATAATAATGCTCAGAGAAAATAAAGTGAATTTATGGAAGAAAAAAGTCTGACCATATTAAACATTAAAAAAAATTGGGTGAGGGAGGGAAACGACACAAGGACCAAAAAATGGAAAGGAATAGAAAATTTTAAAATAGAATCCTAATTTATAATTAAAGAATAACTCCTAAAAACCTCTTTCTTATCCTTAACCTCCTTTCTTGTCAAAATCAAAATTTGAAACGGTTGGAAAGATTAACCTCAGACTTGGAAACACGCGAAGTCTAAAGATTAAAAAAATTAGGTATTTATCTCAAAAAATAAAAAAAATGCCTTTATGGCTTAAGTACTCAACTTTGAATTTTAAAACCCAAGGGCTGGTCTTTTTTAACTCTCTATTCCCACAAGATTTTATGGGAATACAGTAAACTATTGTGAATAGTTTTTGGGGGTATAACGGTTAAATACCAAAAATTAAATTCAAAAAAAAAGTATATTATTATCTTTTGGCACATTTTAAGTTAAAGTATAGCCAAATGGATTATTTTTATAAAAACTATTTTGGAAACAAAAAATTACAAAAAAATATTAGTTACCTCTCTCACACTAATAAGCGGATTTAAACTAAATTCTCCATTTTCACACTTTTTCTCAGCATAATTAAACCATTCCTCAACAGACCGTTTATCTTCAACATTTTTAAAAATATCCAAATTATATTGAATAATTGAAGTAAGTAAAGGTTTTGCCGTTGTTTTGACTGAATTAGAAGTATTCCATTTGCCGGCTTTTGGATTAATTGCACAAATATTTAAATGAGAAAAACATTCATTTAAAGAAGGAATCCTGTCTTTATTGCTATATCCTGTCTTATTGCTATAACGAAGTTTGTCTTTCTCCAATTGCAAATCAACAATTTCACGAGTACGTTGACGCATACTTGGAGGAATATAACGCTTTCTAAAAAGGAATTAACGGTTTTAAATAAAAAATTTGTGGTAAAATTGCCATTTATTATGTGACACCTTTTTGTCATCTCTCCCATAATTCCCCTTTATTTGCTGCTGCCATAAGATTAACAAGGAGGAGGAGGGTACAACTCAATTGAGTGCTGAACTCTATACTTACGAAGGGATGGATGGTCACTTCTTTATGTTTTTGGTACTAATGGATGATTAAATATACACAATATACCAAAAAATCAAATTACTCGATTGATTAATACAAAAGTTATGCTCGAGAGTAGGTTAACCCAGAACCCTTACCCCGAAAAGCGGGTAGCGCTAACACCGAGTTCTGGGTTGTTACTCTGGAAATAGAACCCGCAGCTGCGAGTAACATTTGTACACTGAACAGTGACATATATTCTAAAAAGTGGAGTTGGGACGCCGTAGACCTTTCGAGAGGTTAATTTGTTCCAGTGGCATAGGAGAGGTGAAAAAAGGTGAAAAAATAAACTTTTTAAATTTAAAACTTACACAGTACTCGATGGACGACCCTCATTAAAATTATTTTGTTTTGGCTCAGAAACATCAGTCGAAGTATTCTCATTTGAAGTAGTATTCGATGTTGGAGGTTGTAAAGTAAATAATTTGCCAGAACGAATTTCTTCTTTAAGTTGTTCAATTTTTTGTTCAATTTCTAAAAAGAAATTAATTTTTAGTTAACGGCCAAGATCCAGGCTTTGATTTTCCCGGGAGCCAGAATCCAAAAGGCTTTCGAATTTCAAAAGGCATCTTTACCAGAAAAACGCTTTAATCTTAACTCTGGATTCAGAAAAAATTACTTGAGGTCAATAATCTAATCAATTTTCTCAATCAAAATTAAGAACAAGGCTTTACCAGGACGAAAAAAAGGAATTTTTACAAAGAAACTTTAAAAAACTATTTGTTTACCTTTATTTACCAAATTCTTAACATATTCTTCAATATCCATATTTTTTATAAAGCAATTTAAAGAAATAATCTCTAAATAAATAATTAAATTGAAAATAAAAGGAAGGAAAAAATAAATAATCAAGTACAAAGTTTAATTTAATGTTTAAGCGTAATAAATACAAGATGAAAATGATTTCTCCCATTCCCTTTGTTAAACTCGTTCATAGGAGTAATTGTAAAGAATTAAAAAAACATCTGGTTTTTAAATATAAAAAAGATTAGTAATTTAATAGAAAAATAATCGAAAGACATAAATAATAATTCAAATTTTGATTTTTAAGGTAAAAGTTGTAAAACAGAAACCTACTTAACCACCTTAATTGTCCAATGTTCAATTGTCTAATGTGTCCAATTGTCCAATTTATCAATTGTCCTTTAAAAGGAAAAAGGACAATTGAGTCATTAATTCTGGACACGCACAAGTCCCAATCCGAATTTAGTCCAACCGTTACTGAAATAACTCGTAGAACAAAATTGGAAAATTAATGCACTTACTTATAGTAAATTAAATTGCTGCGCCTTTAATTGATTTAATTTAACCTTTAATCCCCTTTTAATCCCCTTTTAACCTTAATCCCCCTTAACCTTAATTAAAGCCTTTAAACTGCCTTTAATTCCTATAATTCTTTTGGCTCCCATACAAAATACCGAATTCTTAAAATATGGAATCTCAAAATCGCGAATCGGCTAAAAAAGCTCAAAATATGGAATCTCAAAATATCGAATCTCAAAATATGGAATAGGCAAAAAAAGCTCAAAATATCGAAAAATATCGACAATGCGGCAAAGGCCAGTTGAGTCTGAACAAAGTTGTGACCAACTTCTTCGTAAAAAAATTTTAAAAATAAGAGAAAGTATTTTTCTAAGGTAAAAAAATGTGCTGATTACGAATCTCAGCTCGGATTTTGAAAAAGTCGAATCCCGGACCCGAACCGAATTTCGAATCCCGAACCGAATTTCGAGTTTCCGAATGATAGCTCATCTGAAAGAGCACGTCGAGCTGCATCGAATGATACCAAAATCAATGAAATCCGACCTGATTGGACTGAGTTACAGATCCCTGAATAATCAGAAAAAGACCTGCAGCGGCACTCAAACGGCCCTTTTCGTTTTTAAAAAAATGAAGAAACCTGCGGCACAAAAAAAATGAAGAAATCTGGCTTAAGGAACTCCAAAATTCTCAAAATTTTTGCCTGCGGCGCTAAAAAAGTGAATTATTTTTGCCTACGGTCTTCGAAATTTTAAAAATTTTCGCCTGCGGCGCTGAAAATGGAAGAAATCTGGCTTCATGTGCTCCAAAATTCTCAAAATGAGAGAAATTTGGGGGTATTATCGTAGGTAAAGTGGATGGATTAGTATATAGTGGGATTTTATCAAGGGACCTAGTTATTAATCCACAGATATCCCTTTAAATCTATTAGATTTTTACAAATTTAATATTATTTACATATAAATTGCAGTATTTTGATGCACTTTATTTATAAAAATTTTAAATTTTTTATTTAAAAAAAATCCCGAATCCCGGGCGGGATCCCGGATAATTATTTTCGGGATTTTTGAAATTCGGGATTTTTTCGGGATTTATCCCTCGGGATCCCGTCCCGGTTTCGGTTAAGAAAAAAAATCCCGACTCGGGATCCCGGAAGTGCGATTTTGCCGATCTCTACTTAATTTTTTATTTTTATTTTATTTATATAAAAATGAATTTACTGTTTAAAAATACAAAACAACTATTTTTCAACAACAATTTACTTCGATTTAATAATAATTTAAATTTATTCATTTATTCACAATTTATTTCTAAATTATTTTCAACAAATAATTCATCAAATTTACAGCAACAAAATATAGAGATTGAAAATAATAAAAAAGAAAAACTTAAACAATTAGAAAATTGTGTTAATTTTGTTAATATAAGGTTAGTTATTTTATTTTGAAATGATAGAGGGGAGGGAAGAGAATAAAGGAAGGTACTTACTACTCCGTTATCCCTACGTGTTTTTGCGGCTCTTGCCTATTTTTTTCTGGTTTTGGTTCTTATTTTGCCAGTTTTTTAGTGCCTAAAAATCCTAGCTCTAATTATAATCATTCGAAAGAGCTTTTCGAGTTGGGTCGAATGATTCCAAGGTCTGTTAGATTTTATGATTCTGAACAAAATTCTGAGGCTGAATCCTTGCTAGAAAAAGTAGGGTGTAAACCGAAGTATTGCCGAAAATAAAAATTAAAAAAAACATTTTTTAGTTCAACAGCAACAAAGAAATATTCAAATTATTTATCTATTTATAATCAAACAATTTTGGATGACAAAAATTTAAATAAATACAAAAATGTTTTTATAAATTCTTTATTTTCAATTCTGCAAGAATTTTATTATGAAGGAATAAATAAAAAAGAAATTGATAATTTATTAATTGAGAGAATAAATTCCGGTTTGTTTTTAATTTTTAAAATTAAAAAAAATTTGTTTCTAGTTCTTGATTGTATTGAAGATTTGTCTTTAACAAAACGTTATAGCTTTGTTGGGGCTGTTCTTATGTCTGATAATCAGGCAGTAAAATTCTTTGATTATTTGAAGGTTTTTTAAAATTATTTGTTGGTTCTTATTGATTTTAGATTAATAAAGTCGAATTAAACAGCAATCACATTGAATATATTTGTCGGATAGCTACTTCAACGAAAAATGTTTGTTTAAAATTATTTTTTAGACTAAAAATGGGGGTGGTATTGGGGGGGGGGGGGGGCAGGGATGTTACAGGTTACCCAACATCTGGAATTTTTTTTTGCAATTCAGGACTCAAAACCGATTCGAAAATTCTGACGAGAACCCGGTCCGAACCCCGCTCCACTCTCACTATCCCTGATTTAGGACATGCGTCTCCCATGTATTCTCATGTGGTACTTGTCCTAAACCAGAATCAATAAATTGGTATACTTTTTTAGCCAACCATTATTGAACCACTTGTGGATATGCCTGATTTTATAAATAGAAGTCTTCCTCTTCTTGCAATGCTTTATGAGACTTTGGCTTTAATTTATGGTTTTTTTAAATTATTATTTTTAATTTATTTAAATTAAGGAAAGACTGAACAACTAGATAAACTTGAATGGTTATGGAAATTTATTTTGGATAGAAAAAGGCATAGAGGAAGGGATTTTGGGCATTTTAGATTTGCACTTAATCGCATAGCACATTTTTATCGTTGTGCTAATACAAGGTTACCAAAAGAATTATCTACAATACTTTCAAGGCTTGATAATAATACACTTATTTTTAAAAAGGAAAAAGAAGAAAGGAAGTTATAAATTTAAATTAATTGAATTTTCAGTTTGTTGTTTTATTTTTTGAAATTAAATACAAGAATGACTTTAATACAAGGTTAGAAAAATTATTCGATTTATTTGGGGGCAAGGGCGTAGCCGGGGTGTCGCCCGATGTACCGACACCCCGATCCCTTATATCCGTTCAAGTCACTATCCATTCAAATCATTATAACAATTATAGCTAAAATTTTCTTGTCCATTTTTATTTGCGTTAGATTTTGACCCTTGCTTTGCGTTATTTGAATGAAGTTATAGCCTGCTCCCACCATTTTAGCATTATTCTTCTTTTCGGATATCCGGAAAATTTAAAAATCACGTCAGAGGACCTTTAAGTCAGACAAAAATAATTTTATTTTTTCATTGACATTTCTATTGTCCATATTTTGTTCCCTCAATTGTAAATATTAAATAAGACTTTAATAAAATTTTATGCGCGAACTGATTATCTCCTCTTGCCCAAAATTTTAGCGCTTAACTTGTCAACCTATTTCGACGCAGATACTCGATATTTTTGCTTTACTTGCATTTCTGCGCCGAAATAACATTGTTTTTATTATAATGGAAAAAATTGCGTGAATGAAAACAAGTTGAAAAATTGAGAGGAAATAAAGTATTTAAACAGAATTTTTTAAAAGAGGATAAATAATGGATAATATTATAAGAGGATTTGTACGAATTTCTATTGGAAAAATGAACACAAAAAATGAAAAAATATTTATTGGCATATGAATTCAAGGTTGTTAAAAATGTGAATAAAAAGATGGAAAAATAAAATTTTGTCAGGATTAATAAAATAATTAAAAATTAATAATTTTTAATTAAATTATTTTCAGCGATTTGAACGACAAAAATGCCAAATTTATTTTTAATATTTTTACTCTTGCCAATATTCTGGAAAATTACATGTTCACAGACAGGTTAATTTTAGAATTATATTTAATAATTTTTCATAAATAGATTACTCTTCAACATCCACTACTGATGATCCACCCGCAACTACCACAATACCAAATGTGGTCACAACAGTTAATTATATATTTTTTTATCTAAAAAATTTGTTTATTAAATTAGTTGCCAACTAATAATGGAGATAATGTGACTAGTACTATTCCGGTGATGAAAAATCTGACTTTACTGGATGTTGAACTAAATTCGACAACAGGAGGGGTAATATCTCAATTTTAATGTTTAAAGCCTTTTTTAGCCTATTCTAGCTGATGATGATAACAACATTAATGCTACAGTTTCTTCCGTTTCCAACACTTCCACCCCTTCACTTTTAAATATAACAGCAACAACAATTCCTCAAACTTCATCAGAAATGGCAGCAAACACAACAACAAATTTTAATGTCTCAACACAAAATCCAAATGAGACAAATAAGATTATCTCGAAAGATTCAACCGAACATGTTGAAAAACAAGAAAGGTCTATTTTAACTGATGGTTCTGATTCTTCTTCCCAATCAATCGAGGAAAGGGATGATAATGAAAAAATTGAAGGAAGTAAAAATAATATTCCGAATGTTTTGGAAGATAAAAAACAAGTTGATAATACACAAAAACTTCCAGACAAAATTCCAACTAGATTACTAATTTATGCCGTTCAACGTAATTCAAACTATGTGGAAGAAGATTTTGGCGGAGGTAACGAAAAAATTTTTTCTGAAAAATAAAAATGCGAGTCCTAAAGATTTAAAGGGATCAACACAATCTTTTGGTTTTGATCTCCCTAGCAGGGGGCCATTGTTTACTGTGAGGGAGAGTTTGATGTATTGTTTGGTACCATTCGATAGAGAACCCTTGACTTCCTATAGCGAAGTTTGACTGACCATAACTCGGCCCAGTCATCTTGAAAGAAAAATATATCACTTCGCATTAGCAGGTCGGAGTTCCTCTACGGTGTTTATAAGCCCATACCAAAATTCATACTTGTACTTTTGTACGAAGTACGAGGTCAGAAATAGAGGTGGTTAACTCGGACTTCTCGTACTTGGTATCAATAGAAAAATTGAAAGAAATATTTTTTATTTTCCCTTATATGAGTGAGTGGTCTATATATTTTTTGTTGGACAAACAATCCAACAAAAAATATATAATTTTCTTTACAAAATAGCAAATTCGGCAGCTTCAACTGACAAAACTAATGTTGAAGCATCTAAAGAAGATAGTGGATCAAAAGAAGATAAAAAAAGTTTAGAAAAACCAAAACTGAGACGAAAAAGAGGTTTTTCCTTAAATTTAAAAAAAATTATTTTTTGAAGATAATTTTTCTGATGCAATGAATAAATTAAATAATCCAATTGCAACTGCTCAACAACAATTACAACAAACAAATTCAGCAATTTCTGAAGCTTTAGCACAACAACAACAACCCCAACCAATTAATATTCCAATTCCAAATACTCCAAATATTATATTTACTAGTGGTATTTAGTTTAAAATTATTCTATTTATAGAGCTGTCAAAGACTCAAAATTTTTCCAAAACCAGACCCAAAACTGGATTTTAAAACTGAAAAACCCAAGAAAATTTTTGAGTAAAAACTCGAAACCAAGAGTCTTACAATTAGATTGATAATTTAAAATTTGAAAGTGACTATTTTTTAATTATAGCTCAAGGTAATGTAACTTTACAAAGAGGACCAAATTTTTTATCTGTCGAAACTTCAATGGGACAACATTAAATTAAAAGAAATAAATTAATATTTTACGTTTATTTTTAATAAAGTTGAACTATAAGTAAATACCGTAAATGCTCAAATAATTACCCTCCTCCCTGTTAATTACTCCCTCCAGTGCGAGGTTGAACCAATATTTACTCTGGTTAATTATTTTAGCATATATGACAACAAAAATGGTTTTTTTTCATTTTCCCGCTTTTGACTTTCCGTTTTATACAAACGGAACTTTTTCTCAAATTTTTTTTCTCGTGCATAAATTTAATACCTTGCTTTAATTATTAAGTACATATTTACTGACCTATTGCTTTATTCTAAAGTTTGAAAATTTTTTGATTTAAAATTTAAAACAAACAAACAGCAATTTTTCAACTTTTGTAGTAAATCTCGTCTATCCTTTCATTTTCAACTTTTTTGGTAAGAAAAGGAATGTAGAGATCCGTACCTAAATTTAAAAAATTTCTTTTAAAATTTAAATAAGAGGGCAATTTTGGATGATTTTTAATTGGGGAAAACTTGCTTTGAGGACCCAGAATTCGATATGGTTAAACATTTGAAAGGCTCGGTGAGCTGAGTCGAACGACATCAAAATCGGTCAGCGGTCTCAACTATGGGCCCAGATAAAAACCTCGTCATGTAAATAGACAATATCGGAGGCTGTGCCCTCAAAAGCAAGTTTTTACCCTTAAATTTAATAAATATTCTCCAAAAAAATAAAAACCATATTTCATTCTTTGTTCATTAAGAGCTTTTTTCTTTTCTCTATACATTATATATTCTTCTTCTGTCATTGTTTTCTTTATTTTCTTTTCTTGATAACTGTTATAAAACCAATAACCAGCCATAAAACCGGTAAATCCATAAACTATAAAATTCTAAAAATTAAAAAAAATTTTCGTTTTAATTAATTAAAATTACATTAAAAAAGTTTGGATGACGAGCTAAATATCCACTGAAAATAAAAATGTTTTTTAATTAAAAAAAAAATTATTTTTTAACAAACTTTGCCTTCCTCAAAATCCAACCAGTTTTCCTTTTATTATATTCAGGCACGTAATTCCTTTTTGAACAAAGTTGAAGTTTTAAATTTTGTCGAATAAGAAGAATCATTTGTAAATTAACTAAAAAAAAGTTAGGGAGATCTTAAAAAATAAAATTTCACAACTCGTTACATAAATTAAAATAAAATTTTTTGATTAATGCACAAGCTTTATTTCGCATTCTATAAATTGTCTAATCTTCCCTTTGGTAACCTTTTGTCCAATTTCGTTTTGTCCGATTGTCTTTTGCACGACTTCAATGAAGTATAGTTCTAAATTTACCAATCCATATTTTGCCAATAAGGCTTAAAGCTTACATTTTGCCAATACTGCAAATAGTGAGAGGAAAAGGTCGATTCAGAGTAGGATATTCAAAGCAGAACAATTCAGAGTTTGGACGGATTTTTAAAGAAATTTTCCTTTTTATTTTAGTTTACATTTAAAATGTTAATAAAAAGTACAAAATTACTTCAATTTTATTTCTTCAAAAACTTTCCCAAATTTGCCTGCCAATTATCTTTTAAAAGAAATATTTCTTCAATTACCAAACAAAATAATCAAAAACAAAACTTTAATTTAATCAACAATAATTCAATTTTGAATAGAATTTCAATTGAAGATTTACAACAAGAAGGATTTCCTTTTTGGCAAATGAAACTGGCTGTTGAAAATGCAATTAATGAAAATTTGGAAAAAGGGTTTTCTTTTTAATAATTTAAAAAAAATTGAAAATTTTTGGGTAAAATTTGTCTTTTATGGACTTCCACTTTTTCTCCCCAAGTTTTTTTCCTTGTTTTAATTTTTTTAGTTTTCAACTCCTTTTTTTAACAAGTAATCGAAAAAGGTTTAATTTTTATTTTGTTGGAAGGAAGAAAAGGTTGACCATTCCTTATGGGTTTATATGGACCATTAATAGGAAAAAAACTGAGAGGAAAATGGGGGTCTGTAAAGTCTAAATTAATTTTATTTATTTATTCGCAAGTTTCCAACAATATTTTGATTTTTCTAATTTTAGTAATTCTAGTAAATTTTTCCATGCACAAAATGTTTGGAAAATGTTTGTAGACAATACACAATCTACTTTTGGCATTTTATCTCTTATTGAATTTACATTACAAAATTTTGAAGGATACAAATTGAGACAAAATATAGGTTTTTTATTTTGAAAAATTTTAAATTATTATTTTTTTTAATTAAGCTTCTTTGTGGCTTGAATCCAAAACTTTGTTAAGTGCTAGCGATTTTATTGCATATTTGGTTATTGCTATGATGAGGACTGGATATATTGAAGAAGCTAATATTTTTGCTAAAAAGGTTTGGATAAATTTTTATTTGTTAATGGGTATTTCTAGAGATAGGAAATTTTGAAAAAATCTTGATTTTTGGTTGATGTGAGAACTTTGACTAAATTCTCGACTTTGAGTCAAGGAAAAATCAAAAAAACTTTAAAAAATGATTTGAGTCTGATTCTGGACGGATCCCAATTCTAGCACAATCTCTATTGGGTATTTTCCCCCAAAAGTACCTTTATTAGATTACAAATTATTTTATAATTTAGTTTACAATTTTTGGTACTTCATTTATTGTTCCATTTAAAGAAGCAATTGAAAAAGAAAAGGTTTCTTTTATTCTTTAACTTTATTTTATTTAAAATTAGAATTGTCTTGAATTTTTCAATAAGTTTTCTTTATTATTGGAGAATGTTTTCTTTTCTGTTCCAGAACTTACAAAAGAATTGAAGGCAAAAAGAAAAGCTGAAATGATTGAAAGAAAATTAAAAAATGCTGAAAAATTGGAAAATGAAATATTGGATGATGCAAAATTGGAAGAGATGGTAGAAGAAAATGAGGAAAGAAAAGTTTTTAAAATCGTTGAACAGGAAAGAAAGGTTTTTTCATTTTACTAGATAAAATTTGGCTCTTATCCAGATCACGCATCCAAACAAATTTTTATGCGTCTAATCATATTTTTATGTTTTCAATCTGTGGAAATATCTCTGGGTCGGTAGACACGATGAATCGGGTACTTGTTACCATAGATTAGACGCATAAAAATTAGATATATTAGATTAGATGTTAGATATATTAGATATTATTAGACGCATATATTAGACGCATAAAAATTCATATATTATATTAGACGCATAAAAATTCATTGGACGTCTAAAGGTTGATTGGAATCTGTACAATAGCCAAAAATTTTGATTAAATCAAAATTTACTTTTTCCAGCCTCCTTTTATTTTTCAAAATTTAATTTGGATATGGGCGCCACCTAGAAAAATGAATAATTCTGAGAAGGATGTTTTGATTCGTCCAAACAAGCCAAGAAAGCAACGAATTCACAAAGTTAATTTGAAAAGTTTAGAAAAATTTTGTATTGAATTTATTGAATTGTGGCAATTAAAAGCTGGTTATTTTTATTTTTTTAAATTCAAAATTTTTAAAATCATTTTTAGTTCAAAATTCTGATTTTTACGCTCTGGAATGTTGCCATTCATTTATTAAAAGAAATGGACTTTCAAACACATTATCCTCTCAAACAATCAAACAGGAGGGCTTAAATGATTCTATTAACAATAAAACACTCGTATTTAATTAAAGTTTTTTTTTGGGAATTTTGAACTTTGTTTAACCCCTTTTTTATTTTATCACCAAATCTATGGCGGCAAGTATCCATTTCTGTATTTTAAACCTGTGGGCCGATACTGTGCGTGTGTACCATAATTCTGGGTGAGTAGAGTTAGATTTAAGAGGGAAACATAAATGGGTCATATAAAATTCAAAATTCCCGACTTTTTTTCGTTTTTTTTGTTTTTATTAGAAAATTTATTTTTGTTTGTTAGTCATTAAACTTTTCTTTTTTGTTCTATTAATTAATTATACACTTGTTTTTAATTTTAACAAATACTTTTTTTACTTAACTGTCTACTAAACAATTTTTAGAAATTAAATTTTTTTAATTTTTGATGGTTGGAAATATAAATAATTTGGATATAGAGAATGGAAGCCAAACACGGCAAAGTACTTCAAATTCAAGTCAAACATCCCCTACACATAACAACACAGTTAATTGTGTACATAAACGAATTTTGAGTCAATCAATTGCAGCAATTTGTCAAATTTCTGGATTTACTAGTATTCAATCAAGTGCTTTGGATGTATTGACTGCTTTGGCACATAAATGTAAAAAGAAATTTTTTAAAAATTAATTTTGAGCAATTTAATTTAAATTTAAGATTTAACGCAAATTTGCGGCTCTGGTAGAGAACTTTGTGAACACACTGGACGTTCAATTATCACTCCTGGAGATGCTTTTATGGCAATTATAAGTTCGGGTATTGATGTCCAAAAATTCCCAGAGTTTCTACAGTCAATTAAAAAGGCAAAACCGCCTCCTCAATTTACAGGTTTTTTTTTATTTTTTTGTTTTGTTTTGAACATGATGTTAACAAAATAAACTAATTTTTCAGTTAAATCTCAATCGCCAGTAAAATCTCCTCCATTACTACGTATTTCTGATCCACGTCCACATCCTTCATATTTTCCGAATTTTTTGCCTCCTTTTCCTGATCCGCATACATATATTCATACAGAGGTAATTTTTAATATTTTTTTCATTTAATTTTTAATGTTAGGTCAAAGATGACATCGACAATACTTATGAAAAAGTTCGTTGTTTAACAGCAGCAAATAGGAGGGACACAGAAAAAAGTTTGATAAATTATGCTCTTTCCGTTTACCCAAGCATTTGTGTATTTCAAGAATTGTCAATGAGACTACAATTTGAGTCTAAAGATGTGGTAAATAAAAAGTTTTTTAATTTAAAAGGATTTTTTTTCATAAGCAAAAGGAACAAGAGTTACTTAAACAACAACAAAATGAACAAAAAATTTGTAATGGAGAACAAGACGATGATATTTTGTTTTTGGAGAATGGAAATGGAGGTGATCCAGAAAGTGTTCAAAAACTACAAAAAACAGACTCAAAAGAAATGGAACCAGAGGATGATGATAACCAACAGAAAAATATTCTGAAATTAACTAATAATTCTGTGGGCAAAAAGACTGAAACAGTGGTAAAAATAAGTCTTTAAAAATGCTGTTCTTTGTCTATAGCGGTAAATACGCACCACCGCATTATACTCTTTGTGAGTAAAGCTTTCTTTTCCTTTAATAGATTTTACCGGAATACATTGAATTTAATGAAAATGTAAAGCTATAGCTATTTAATTCCTAAGGCTGTTCAGCATGCGGCGTGGTGTAATTGATACATTAGTCAACTGAGATGCTAGTTTGCTACCAGCCACCGAATAACCTTTTGCAAAGGATAAATAACTAGCCCAGCTCTGCTTTACTAAAACAGATCCAAAAAAAACAAACCATTGACTCAAAGAACAGAATTTTGAAATTTGACGTTGATATGTTATTTTAATTATAAACATTGTTTTAAGACTACAAGTGCTTCAACATTGCAAGATTTGCTTATTAGTGAAGAACAACTAAAATTACGGGATACAGAACGTTCTTATGTTTTTAAGAGGATTCCTCCTTATTGTCACAGTTAATTTATTTTTATTATTAGAAAATTAATAATTATTTTTTAAAGTTTTGTTGCCTTTCGAAGATCACAATCCATATATTTCTGCATTAATTACTGATGATGTTGATATTATAGATTCTGAAGAACACAATTATTTTGCTTCAATTCTTAGTAAAGAAATGGAGGAGGAAGAGGAAGAAGACTTGATGGAAAATAATAATGATGAAGATGAACAACCAATGGATAGTATAGTTGGTGGAAGTGGAGGAGGTTTGAATATAGATTGATTTTTGGAAATAGTTTTTTGGCTCTTGTTCAAATTACGCGTCCAGTCAACACCAGCGATTCGCTGACAGAACCAAATTCGCGATTTTCGACCAAATTCCCGAATTCACGAGCCAAAAATCGTCGGGAATTCACGATTTTCGGGTTTGTGAATCGGGTCGGTGCGACCCTGCTTTACACGTTCAATGCCAAGTTTGCGTCCAATCAAAATTTTATTTGTCCATTTATGCTTCCGTTCATCAATTATAAAAAAAATTTTTGTTTGGACGCAAAGCTTTTCATTGAACATTTAAAGTTGATTGGACGCGTAATCTGGATAAGAGCCATTTTTAAAAATTTTTTCAATTTTTTAAGTTTATAAATTTATTCTATAATATTAATCTTGTCTTTAATAACATATTTGTAATTTATCAGCCAATATTTTTGTTTAAATTTAATTACTTTTATAATTTAGATTGAATTTTTTTATTCTTACCTACATGTGTGTGTGTGTGGTATTTTATTTCTACTTTTTTTTCTTTCTTTTAAAATTTTGTTTCAATTTATTATTCTTAAACAACATACAAACTACTTTATTTACACTTTATTATATGTTTAATTGTAACAATAATGAACGGAAAAGGTTTGTAAATTTTAATAAAATTATGGTCTGTAAAAATGAAAAAAATGATGAATTTCAAGGTCAAATTGAGGGTATAAAATAAATTTTTGTCAAAAGAAAAGTTTAAAAAATTATGGTTATATAGTAGTTTCTGTTTTATAAAAAAATTATAGTGTGTGTACTATAAATATTTTTTGTTATATAAAATTATTGTTTAAATTATTTTAAATTTTACTTTTATTTATTGCGCGAAACTAAAAATGTTAAAAAATAAAAGGGAAGAGGGAAGTTTTCGCTCCTTAAATTGTTCCCCCCTTCCAATTTAAACCTCCCAAACAATTTTTTAAATTTATTTTCTTTTTTAATTCTTTATTTTTCATTTTTAGGTACAAATTATTTATATGGCAATTACACTATTTTGGACGTTTTTTCTATTTTCTTTTTTATTATTGTTTACATTTATTTTAACAAAGGTAAAATTAAATTGGGATTTTTAAAATTTTTAGTCGCAAATTAATTCTTGTTTTAGCCAACTTTTATCAAAAAGGATGATTTTGAAGAAGATTTAGAAGAACAAGTTAATGAAGATGAAAATAATGACTTCCCAAGTGTTGATATTCAAACAAAAAATGGCCAACTTAGAGGATTTCGGATTCAATTGGAACCTCCATCTTTGTTATCACAACAGACAAGATATCGTTTAGCCGATATATTTCTTGGAATTCCTTTTGCTCAACCGCCAATTGAAAAGCTTCGTTTGGAGAAACCTTTACCTCCAAAAAATTGGAATGGAACTTTGGATGGTTAGTTGGATTATTTTAATTTTGATTGTATTAATAGTGGGTGGAACGGGTTGAGGAAATGTCAGAGTTCCGGGTTGGGTTTTCAAAATTTTCTTAGGATTGGATTTCGGATTGAGAAAAGAAGTTTTCTTATATCAATTACAATCTATTTAGCAACAACAATTCCACCAGCTTGTGTTCCTCAACATATCTTAGCTGCTCCAGATTATTCAGAAGATTGTCTTTATTTGAATTTATTTAGACCAACTATTGAAAATAAAAAAAGAACAGTACCTAACACACCCGAACAACACAAATTTCCAATTCTTCTTTTTATTCATGGAGGAGGTTTTTGTGTTGGAGGTACTTTCCTTGAGGTAATTTGTTTAGTTTAAACAAATTAAAAAATATAAATACTTTAGGGCTACAATAATATTGCAAACAATTTTGTCTCTCAAGGCATTATAGTTATCACAATTCAGTATAGACTCAATTTTCTAGGCATTTTTTAAATTTATTTTCTATTATTCACGAAAGCCCCTTTATTTTAAAGGATTTTTCTCTGACGGAACAAAAAAGAATCCTGGAAATCTCGGTCTTTGGGATCAACATCAAGCTCTTGTATGGATCCGTCAAAATGTTGCAACATTTGGTGGTGATCCAAATCGTGTGACTGTTTGGGGACAAAGTGCTGGATCTGCCTCTACCTCGATACTTTCCATTTCAAAATATACACGAGGTTTTGTTTTAAATTTATTTTTTAAATAACTAATCGAGATTTTTAAATAGATTTATTCCACCAATCAATCCAACAAAGTGGATCCCTCTTTTCACCTTGGGCCTTAAATGAGGGAGTTTTAGAATCATCAAAGAAGACTTTAAAAAGTGTTGGTTGTCCGACAAATGGGGCTGAGGAAGAATGTTTAAAACAGATTGATGTAGAAGATTTGGTGGAAGGAATCCAGAAACTTGTAGGGATTTTTTTAAATTTCGGTACTTTTCCGTTTATGCCCACAAAGTTTTTGACTGTACACTAACCTGTGCCGGTTCTTTCGATTTATATATATTTCAATTCGTTTTGTTAATGTAAGCGAATGGTACCACTCTATTATTGAGAACACCTGTGATTGTGGTATTTACAACCAAATGAATTTCTAACTGAAAAAATTTGTAGAAACGGAAAAGTACCGAATTTTCGGTAATACTGAAGAATACAGACCCGATTTTTTTCTCCCCAATTTCCCCCCTATATTTTTACAAAATGGTCAGACTTTTTCCTTCCTTCCATGCAATTTTGCCTTTCTAATTTTTGCCTACAATCAAAAAAAGGATTATTTTTGGTATTTGACAAGTATAAGTTTTTGAGAAGACACATTTTCTCTATTAAAACGGTAAATAAAATACCAAAAATAATGCTTTTTTTGATTGTAGGCAAATATTAGAAAAACAAAATTGCATGGAAGGAAGGAAAAAGTCTGACCATTTTGTAAAAATATAGGGGGGAAACTGGGGAGGAAAAAATCGGGTCTGTATTCTTCAGTATTACCGAATTTTCTTTTTAAAAATAATAAAGAAAAATATTTTACTACAACTAACAATAATATGCATATTTACATAATTATCTCTCAAAAATCTTATTTATTTTTACACTTCTCTCTCAATATTTCGTCCTTCTATTTTTTCCACCAATATTATTCCATCGTCTTACGGGTCCCGAATCTATTATATTAGGCAAATCTGGTTCAGTTGATGTTGACGCTGCTGTTGTTTTTGTATCAGCTTCATCACAAACATAAAGAGTATTTTCTGTTTCTTTTAGTATTGGATCTTAACTTGAAAAATATAAATTATTTTTTAATTCATTCTTTGGACCTTTTCCTTTTTTGGGCATTCTCATTTGATCGATTAATGGAACTTGATCATAAGCATGTAATGATGACATATCTTCCATCAAATGTTGAGCTGCATTCTTTCTAATTTGATTGAAGACACTAAGTGAAGTTTGGCCTTTTGGAGGTTTGAGATTCTTGCTTGAAATGATGAAATTAACGTCAACAATCTCAACAATTTCTTCATGTTTGCTCATCATGTCTTCGCTTGGCATGCTAAGTTCTGATTTGCTGCAAGTTTTGAAGCTTTTTGCAGTTTTTAATTCAGAGTTTTTTCTTTCCTTCTTCTCTTTAGACTTGTCCTCATCTTCTTCAACTTTCTTTTTCTCCCCCGTAGTAGTCTTATTATCAGGCACACAAGTGCCCGCTGTACTCTTTGATGTTGTCTTCAATTTTTGTACTTGTGAAAAAGTTTGCTTTTGTTTGTCATTTTCTTTTTTTGGTTTGTCCTCTTTCTTTCCCGATTTTTTCTTCCTTTTGTTCATTTTGCTGTCAGAAGATGCCTGAAATAAAAAAACAAATTAAAAATTATAAGCCTCTCTACTTTCCCCTACTTTTGCACTATTTCCATTTGCCAATTTATTCGTTTTCGAAGACTTTTTTGATTTTTTGCAACAAACGGGAAGAATACTTATTGCCAATGTAGACCAAAACAAAATGACCAAAAGCAGGATAAATTGAGAATTTGCATCTGTAAAAAATAAATTTTTGGATAGAAGAAAATTCTAAAAAATATTGTATACCTTGAAGCAACAGAAAAATAAACATTATGTAGCCAACAGAATTAAAATGTTTTGTTGAGAGAAAAGTGAGTCCGGGGAATCGAGAAACTTGTGGGAAATAAAAGCGGCTTTTATATGTTTTTTGTTTTCTGCTGCTTCAGCCTTCCGCAGAATTCCAATTTTATGACCCTTTCTTGCTCCTCCTTCCGTGTTCGCATTTTTAAATACGAGAGGGCTCCATCCCTGATGTATAGCTATAACAATCCTCTTTCACAAAATCACTCAAAAATTATTCTTTAAGGAAATGGTTCGAAACAAGTTTGCAATGAACGTTTACAATCCAAGATTTGACAATGATTTCGTTCCTCATGACATTAAAGCTGCATTGGAGACAGCACCTAAAAAGCCTACAATGATAGGATTTACTTCACACGAGTCAATGTTTCTTTGTAAGTTTTAGATTATTCAAATTAGAGCCCGGAATGAGTTGAGATCTCATTGAGAATCTCGTAGGGCCCTCTCAGTCTGGGCTCTAATTCAAATTTATTTATTTTGAACATTGCTTAAATATTCCCGTTTTTTTCCTCTAGCTATTCAATATCCCTCCTCCGTTTTTGCTTTGAATTCGCCCTTATCTATTGTTAATTTTACTCAATTTGATCGCTCCAAACTGATCAATTTTATCCATAATTATATCCATCGTGAAAGAGGAAAAGCAACCGAAGAAGAAGCAGAACAAATAGCCAAGGAATTGGAATCTTTTTATTTGGAATATCAAAAGAAGAATATTGGAAAGGGGGATTGGAGATATTTTTTGGAACAATATACAATGGTACTGGAATGGGTCAATTGGGTGCTACCAGACTTTGATCGACTACAACTTTTTTTTCTTGATCCAATCCGAATAAATTTTATATTATTTGAAAGCTTTCGATAATCTTTTTTGCAACTGAATAGATTTAATCTGATCACTTTCGGGTAACTTTTTAATGCGTGATCAGACTTGATCCATTCTTTTGGAGAAAGATGCCGCTTGTTAGAGCTTTCACTCATATAATATAAAGTTTAGATCAGAACTTAAAAAGTTATAATCGATCAAAGTCTGCTCGTGCCCAGTCAGTTGACTCCACTCCAAAGTACCACAATTTTTAAATTTTATTTTTAAAGTTATTAAGCGATGTTCAATTTGTTATACCAATTTTGGCAGAAGCACGTTTAAAGGCTGCTAATAATTGGCCTGTATTTCTTTATCAATTTGATCATGTAAATAAAGAACATATTTCCAAACTTCCATTTAGAGGTGTTGTACATGCAGGAGAATATCCTTATTTATTAGGTCCAACACTTTTTGGTAATTATTTGTTAGATAATGAGGATGATAGAAAAGTGCAAGCTTTGTTATTGTATGCTTATGGAAGTTTTGTAAAAAATGGGTAAATTTTTTTTATTTAAATATAAGCAGAACAATTGAGTTCCGGCTCTATAACTTTTGAAGGAATGGTAACTTCTTAATGTTCTGGATACAGACTTTAAGAAACAATATACCAATTCATTTCTGGTTAATAAGGAAGTTGTGATCTAAAAATAAAATTTAAAAAAAATGTGATTTTTCAAAACCTTATTGATCATAACTTTATCGATCAGTCGTGGATTTTAATTTTTTGGTATATTGTAATCATTTACTCAGTTGGCCGGGACTCAGTTGAGTCAGGATACCCTAGATACTAATTGGGCTCTGGTAGTGGACTATGCGTCTGTTGTAAATGGATGGATATTATTTAGATATTTTTCTAATTAAATGGGAGATTAATTTTCTGTTAGATTATTTAAGTAAATTTTGGCTAGGTATAGGTATTTTTCTGAATTTTAAAAAATGAATTATAACTAGTTAAATTTCAATATTTATTTGTCAGTTCATAAAACTCATTTCCTATACCAGAGCTGCCAATTTAACAAAATTTGTTTTTAATTTTTTAGAATTCCCAATTCTCCTCCTGGCGTAGATTGGCCTTCTCTTTCATCTAAAAATAAAACAATTGAATTTATTCGTATAATCAAAAGTGGATTAAGAAATGAGAAAAATCCTTTATATTTAATGCAAAAAATTAATTTTTGGAGAAAACTTTCAAAAAAGAGAGGATTTAACAAAATATCAGGATTTCCTTGGGCTTTACCTTAAATAGAAAAAAATTTGGCAAGCAGCATAGACAAGGAGGTGTAAATAAATTTTTTTTGGAAATAATTGATGATACTACTAAATTTTTATTTTTGTTGATCTCCATCCATTCTGTCAATAATTACTATTATTTTAAACTAAAAATGTCTTAAAAGTTTTCGAAATTTAAAAGGTTTATTGTTAGTAGCTGATACAGTTATGGTCATATGTCTAGACCCAGGACAAAATTTTTCTTTAAATCGAAATAAAAGAATAGGGAGTAGTTTTGATCGACGCTAATTGTTATCAGTCGATAAAATCAACACTAATCGATTTTATTTTTTAAAAATTTATTCAAAAAATAATAATTTCTATAAGCATGGGCACAGCAGATCAGCTTGTTAGTTTTAGCTGTTTCAGTACAAACTCAATTTTTCTTTTCGGTCTATTTCTTGTCTGAACGAACGGTATCACTATATCTAGTCTGAGAAATTCATATGGACCGAGATATAAGCCTATTTTTTGTCTGCTTCAAAATGGGCGCATAAACCAAATAAGCTAAAGGGAAAAAAAGAAAGAAAATAAGCCTCTCAGTTTCATCTTCAGTACACATTCCAAATATCATTAACAGCCTTTGCCCATTTTAATCTGCTGTGCATGAGTAACGAAACATTTTTTAAAAAACTATAAATTTACTGCAGTAGTTAAGAATTTTTGTTTGCCGGTCTAATATAATAATATTTTTAAGTTTACAATAATAATAGGTACTTTAACTAATTAAAAAAATTTCTTCTTAAAAATCTAACTAAACTTCTCAAAATCCATCTGAAGGAGGAATACGAGCATCTTCAGTTTCATATGGCGGTGGTAATTGAACAGTCCCAGGCTCAACATTCCAAATGTCATTTGCATATTCTTTTATTGTTCTATCCGTACTAAATTTTCCACTTGAAGATATGTTAAATAAACACATTTTTAACCATTTGTCTTGATTCTAAAAAGAAAATTTTTCTAATTGGAGATATTATCTCTTCTGGTTGGGATCAACTCAACACCTAGAAATATTTGGGCGGATAAAGGATTTGTGCAAATAAAAAATTTTGTAGGTATTAAAGCGGAAATGAACAAAAGAAATTCTCTTGTACAACTGTCAGATAAGACTAAAGAAAGCAGAGAGCAAGACAATATATTATAGTATTGATCTTGATAACTCATTAAACGTCCAAATATTTGGAGTTAAACTTTTGGGAGAAGGGTCAATAGAGATCCTACCTCTTGACTATAGGAATATAAACTTTAAAAAAATTAATTTCCAAACCTTATATGTCTCTGAAACTTTTTCTTGACAACGAATATAGTCAGCATAATCAGCACAAACATGAAAACGATCATAAAAACGAAGAGAATTAGCAACATCTTTAAGTGCATCTGGTTGATCTGGAGTAAAATATCCAGCTTCAATTTGTTCTACACATTGAAGTAATTCTATATTTTGTTCAATAAAATCAGTAGATTTATAACTAAATATAATAAAAATTATTCAATTAACAAACTTTTCGTTTCTTAAAAAAGTTCATTTTATAAAAAAATGTTATACAATTTTTTGTAGATGTTCAAAAGCTTTGAAATTTTGGATAAAAATTCTTTAATGTTTTCTAATAGATCACAAAATTTAAAATTTTTTGGTTAGGTACACTGAGAGTTTTGGCTCTTCGAGCATATGATACGAATACCAAAGCAAAAAATCTCAAATTTTGTGAACTATTGGAAAACTCTAAAGAAATTTCACAGCTTTTGAAAATTTACAAAAAATTCAATAAAAATTTGTAGAGCAAACTTTTTTTATGAAACGACAAAATAAATAAAAAATAAACACACCCTTTCTTCTCCAAAGCAGCAACTTCTTCCACACGCATTCCAAAAATAAAAATATTTTCTTCACCCATTTCCTCAGCCATTTCAACATTAGCTCCATCCAAAGTTCCAATGGTTAAAGCACCATTTAACATAAATTTCATATTTCCGGTACCAGAAGCTTCTGTCCCAGCTGTAGAAATCTGTTCAGACAAATCAGCGGCTGGAATTATTTTTTCAGCCATTGAAACACGATAATTTTCCAAAAAGACCACCTTTAAAAATTTAAATAATTAAAAATTTTTTTGGCACTTTCTCATCTTTACTATTATAAAAAGGAAGCTGGAATAAAAGAAATAAAAAATGTGGGCATGTTTGCAATAAATTTCAGAAATTAAAAAAACCTTCAATTTATCCCCTACAATAGGATCACAATTAACAACAGAAGCAACAGCATTAATCAATTTAATAATTTGTTTAGCCATATGATAACCTGGAGCTGCCTTTAAAAAATATTTTTTATTATGAAATTTATTTATTAGAAAAAATCAAAATAATTCTTTTCAAGAAACCAACCTTTCCACCAAACATAACAGTTCTTGGAACAATTTCATCATCATTTGGATCGGCCTTTATTCGATTATATAAAGTGATTACATGCAATATATTTAGCAATTGACGTTTATATTCATGAATACGCTTTACATGAATGTCATACATACCTTTAAAAAATATTAAAATATTTTGTTAAAGACTAAGAAGGTAAATCAAGTTCCAGTAGAGACCGGCGCAAAACTAAATAAGTGGGGGTTTGCAGAATTCCGTCCTGAGACTAAAGTGACTCCTCTTAATTCGATCATGGTCAGAAAATTAAAACCAAAAGTATTTTTAAAAAACTTTACGAACTTGCAGGATTAATATCAATATCAAATTGTTCTTTAATAAATTGTGCAACACGTAATTTATTATCCTTTAAAACATAAAAATTAAGTTTGTGTAAAAAATAAACTCTTTTAATCCGTGCAATTGCATCCAAAAATCCAATATTAGTTGAAAATTTTTCCAGTTGTTTAAGCTTGTATAAATCATAAATATATTCATCACTAATTTTCTAAAAAAAATTTTTTTAATTTAGAATTTTTTTAAAGAATACATCACAAATAAGATCAGCAAGTGAAGGATTGCATAAAAGAAGCCAACGACGAGGTGTTATTCCATTTGTTTTATTTTGAAAACGATTGGGGAAGAAGTCGTAAAAATCACGAAAACTAGAATTAATAAAGGTAATAATTATTAAGTACCAAGAATGTGCCAAAAGCGACTCAAAAAGTGAATACGAAAGTCCAAAAAAGCGAAATTCGGCAAAAGGCGAAACTGGAGCAGCCATGATATGGATGCAGGGAAGGGCGTAGCCCCCACTGAAATCGACCCCCTAGCTAACAATAAGCCCTCCCCGAGGAATCAAACTAATTATTATACAAGTTTGTGAGTAATAATTTTGGCACAACTCGAAAAATTTAACCAAGACTAATGAGAGTTTCTTAAAGAAAATTATAGACATGCAAGGGTTGTCTCCCTAAAAATTTTTTATAAAAATTTACGTTTGGCTTTTCAATAAACTTGAATGTAATTCAGCAACACCATTTGTACAATGAGAACCAACAATACATAAATGTGCCATATTAATTCTTTTTTCCCCATTGAATTGATCAGGTTCTTCGACAATAGACATTCTACGCATTCTATCAACATCTCCAGGATATTTTTTTGCAATTTGCTCCATAAATTGTTGATTAATCAAATAAATAATCTAAAATTTTTTATAATTTCAAAAAAATTTACAAAAAAACCTCCAAATGGCGTGGCAACAAATGTTCTAACATCGAAACCTAAAAAATAGAGTTATGTATTGAAAATTTGGGTACTTTTTGGACCCTCCCCCTTTTTTAAAAAAAAAATTTTATACCGGCCAACGTTCCAAAGCTTCAGGCAATAAAGTATGATTTGTGTAAGCAAATGTTTTAATACAAATATCCCAAGCATGATCAAAATCTAATCCTTCAACATCAACAAGAAGACGAACCAGTTCAGGTATGCCAATAGATGGATGTGTGTCATTTAATTGAATTGCCACCTTTAAATTTATAATTATTCTAGACAATTGACAAAAAAATTTATGAATAATGTTTGAATCGAATACTCAAAATCGAATATTTGAATAATACAGTCTTCGGCCTAATACATATAGTCAGGCCCATAGCCAGGGGGTAGGAGGGGCCTTCTAAAATTACGGCCTTCTAAAATTCTCAAAATCGGCCTTCTAAAATTCTCAAAATTTTCGCCTGCGGCGCTGAAAATAAAAATTCCCCCCCCCCCCCCCCCCTTGGCCCCCCCCCCCGAAAAAAATACTGGCTACGGGCCTGCATATAGTAACTTATTGACGGCTCAGGAACTGTTTCGAGACTAAAAAATTTCCGAAAATCGCAATAAAATCCCCATGATAAATCGAAATTAAATTATTAAAACTTCCCACAAACCAAAAATTAAAAATAACCTTGTCAGGAAAAGAATCGAATTCAACACGTATAGGATTTCTATTTCCATATTGACTTGATTTAAATCGTCTAATAATGTCTTGTAAAGTAGCAGCAACCAAAAAATATTGTTGTTTTAATCTCAACTCTTTCCCAACAAAAATATTATCATTTGGATATAAAACACGTGTTATATTTTCTGAAACATTTCGATCCATAACTGCTTGTATATATTCACCATCATTAACTAAAAAATTTTAAATTAATTGGAAGTACAAAAAACAAACAAAATTGTAAATGAAAATGATTTTCAGCTTTTGCAGACCAAAGACGAAGAGTATTGACAACATTATTGCGAAATCCTGGAACAGGTGTATCATAAGGCATAGCAAAAACAAGATGAGTGTCACGCCAATGGCTCTAAACAAAAACTTAAAATTTCAATTTAAATAAAAGTAAAAAAAACCTTTCCAGAAGAATCTTTTTCAACTTTTCCATAAAAATTAACTGGAAGCATATATTCTGGACGAGCCTTTTCCCAAGGATTTCCAAAACGAAGCCAATCATCTGGTTCTTCAACCTAAGTTTTTTTTTGGATTAAAGACATTACTGCAAGAGAAACAATTTTCGGAAAAACAAAGGAAAGGTTAATATGTCCTGTAAAATACAATAAAGGACAGGACCAATTACAAACTCAACTAGTGGTATTTTTTTGGATATGCCGACCTCGTCCTCGTTTAAATCACATGTCAATTACACTTTCCTTCCTAATGCCTATCATTTATAAATGAGTCATAAAAAATAAATGTTATTGTTTGACCAAATATAATCAAAAATCGATACGCAAACCAGGGCGGGATATCGAAAAAAGTACAGTATTATTTTATTAAATAAAATTATTTATCGCCAAACCTGCCATCCATCTTTGATTAATTGTTTAAATATCCCATATTCATAACGCAATCCATAACCATATGCAGGAATTCCTAATGTCGCCATTGAATCAAGAAAACAAGCAGCCAAACGTCCAAGACCTCCATTTCCTAAACCTGCATCTTCTTCAATTTCTTGTAATTCTTCGATATTTAAACCAAGCTTAAGAAAATAATTACAGGATTATTTTATTAAATTTAGTGGATTTTCAGAAACTCCCATTAAAGATCGGTAAATTATTTAAATACAAACCTGATACAAAGCTTCATCAACAGTTGCTTGCATTCCCAAATTTAGCATTGTATTTGACAAAGTTCTTCCCATATAAAATTCCAATGAAAGGTAATAGACACGCTTAAATTTCAAGTTAAACAATTTCAAAAAAACTAAAAAAAAACCTTCGGATCCTTTTCATAATAATGTTGCTGTGTTCGAATCCATCGACTCACCAAGTGATCACGAACAGTATGAGCAAGTGCTTTTAAAGTTTAATTTAATAAAATAGAATGTCCAAAATAATTTTTACCAAAATAATAATCTCTAGGCGTCGAAACATTTCTGTCTTTAATCATTGAAAAATGCAAATGACGATTAAATGTTTTTTTGATGTTAGCAACATTTTCAACTTGTGCAATTCCTCTAACACTAATTTGTTTATGTCGATCACTGTCAGAATCATTCATTTTTTAATTTATTGAACTGATAAATAAGAGAAAAATTTAAAGAAAAATATATTAAAGTGCTGGAAAGATAGAGAGAGCCAACTAATAAAAAATTTAAAAATCCCTTTTTCCCCACCAAAAATTGTGCAGTAGTTTAAAAATTTTTAGTAAAAATATGCTCATTTTAAAGAGAATTTAAAGATCTACAATTTTTGTTTTGAAACTTTTTTTAAAGAGAAAAATTTTTTAGAAAAAAGATAATTGATAAAAAATACTCTAACAACTTTTGGCCCTATCTTTTCTTTCCAGCACTGTATATTGATCTTTTAGGGAGGTTTAACATAAAATGAATAAAAAAGCCAAGCCAAGTATCTCGTAAAATAATAAAAAATCGAAAAGAAATAAAAAAAACTTGATAAATTGACTAGGAGAAAAAGAGACTAAAGATTTTATTAGTTTTAAGAAAATTGAAGGGAATTTTATATATTGAAAGAAAAATATTTAAAAAAAATTTTTTTAATTGTAAATTAAATACAATTATTTTAATTAAACATAAAATTCTTGTAAAAAAACAAATTTATTCAAATGTTGCAAAAAATGTGGATATATTTAAAAATGAATTGAACAAAAAAGGAAAATATATGTGCGTATACTTACTTAAATATAATTCTCATCAACCCACCCCTCCCCTCAAAACATTCAAAAAAACTCTCTAAACACTTACCTTTCTTAAACCCCAAAAAATCTTAAACACACACTTACTATTTTTAAATATTCCCACCAGACTCGTCTTGGCCTTCAAATGCATTGTCATTATCTATAATATTAGGCATATTTAAAGAACTAAAAAAAATATTTAAACAGAAAATAGTCAAAAATACGGTTATATCAGGCCCGTAGCCAGGGGGGTAGGGGGGGGGGAATTCCCCCCCCCCCCCCCCCCCCCCCCGAAATGGGAAAAAGGGAAAATTTTGGGGAAGGGCTGGGGCAAAAAAAGTGAATTTTTTGGCCTACGGCCTTCGAAATTTTCAAAATTTTCGCCTGCGGCGCCGAAAAAGTGAATTTTTTTGGCCTACGACCTTCTAAAATTCTCAAAATTTTCGCCTGCGGCGCTGAAAATAAAAATTCCCCCCCCCCCCCCGAAAAAAATCCTGGCTACGGGCCTGGGTTATATGAATGAGGGATGGAGATATTGACAAGTAGGGTCAAGCTAAAAATTAACAAACCGCCATTCCTATCAGTATTAACAGCAACATCATCAATAACATTATTATTATTATCCTCAATATTATCATTATTACCCTCCTCCTCATCACCATCAATCACAACACTTTTTGTTGGTTGAAGGGGAGTTTCCTCCTCCAATTCCCCTTCCATATTTTTATTATTTTCACGATTTGTACTCGAAACAATTATTGGACCAATATTAACTTCATTTTCATCAATTTGTTGCTGTTCTTTTTTAACAACAATTGTTGATTTTAATGGATGTCCACTTCCCCCATTTCTTTGTTTTGAATTCTCATCATCAGAATCCTCTTCAATTTCTTGTTTCATCACAACTCCATTGCCGCCAATTATATATGTTCCCAAACGTTTAAGTTCACGATCCATTTCTTCACGACGAAGTTCAATTAATGCTTAAAATTTGAAAAATTTTATAATCGTAAAACTTGGAACGGCAATATACGCGAGGAGTGCCGGGATCGTATTTTCCCTATTTCCCAGGAATGATAATTTTTCTTTAGCATATTCACCACCGTTGGGTGTGTATATACCTAGAATAGGTTAATCCTAATCACTAGGGCTCGGATTTATATTTAAATAAATCACTGAAGCGGCCCTGCCCGCGAACTGACCTCTGCCTCTCCATTTTTTTATTACATCTATCACCGGTCATTTCTGTCTTTCTTCTATTAGAACTCAATAGTCAGACACCGGTCAGTCAAGGCTTGTTCATGACCAAGGTCGTTTTTGTGCCCTATTTAAATATAAATCCGAGCCCTACTAATCACTCAGAGTTATGGCCACTCACGCCATAAAGTAGTTCCTTCTTTCTTATCAGCCTTTTTCTTTGAGGCAAAAATAAACAAACATCAAATACTAAGGAAAATTGATCATTCCGAGCCGGACAAAGATAAAAAGCATCCCGGCACTTTTTGCATATAGTCCAAATTAAAAAATATAAATCAACAAACTTTCAATTTTCTTAGAAGAATCTTTAAGTAATTCCAAAGTTCTCAAAGTATGTTTTGACGGCAAAAAGAAAAGTGGAGGTTTAGTTTGCGTCTGAATAAAACATGCAAGTCTTTGGAAATGTTTAGTTTTCTCCTCCGCCTGAAAATTTTAAAATTTAAGAAAATTCCAAAAAAATAAACCGATTGCTCAATAGCTTTTTGACGGCGAAGTGCCTGAATTTGCATTTCCTTATCACGTCGTTTTTCCATTAAAGAATCACGTTCGCGTAACAATCTCTCACGATTTTCTTTTTCATTTTCTTCTAAGCGACGCTCAACCTCACGCTGCTTCTCAAGCTACATAAAAATGATCAGTCTTCTAAGGGACAGAAATCAGAAAATAAAAACCTGTGCCTGTCCTTTAACCCCAACAGTCTTTTCTTCCTTCTGAAATTGTCGTAAAGTACCTACCAAAAGATTGGAAAAAAGACGTCGGTTTCTTTAAAAATACTTAAGGATTAAAAACCCTTATACAAATCAAACCGGACAGCATCCTCTTTCGTTTCACTTTTCTTCTTCTCGGTGATAACAGCAGTCCGCGACTTGGTCTCAATTGTAGACGCACCACTTGTCGAAGACATTATAACACTAGACAAAGTACGTTGAGGACGTAAAGAAGGAGGGGAATAATCACGTTGTGGGTAGCGATTGTGTTGATGCTGTTCATTCCAAAGATCATCATCATGACGAGAACGCTTTGCACTAATGTAAGAAAATTTTTTAAAGTAGAACTTGAGGTGAAACTGAATTTCGCAACTATTTTTTCCCCTCCACAATGGAAAATGGTTGATTTAAAATGTTCCTTCCTCTATAGCGGCAAGTACCCAGATGTTTTTTAGAGCTAGCATTGGTTCTAAAAGAGCTGGTTACATAGCGCTATAGAATTGGGCTTGTAACAATTAGAAGTCTGACCATTTTTTCATTGTGAAAGACAAAGGGGTGGTCAGGAATTCAATTTGACCAAACTCGATTACCCCATACATATAAAAATTAAAAACAAACAAACCTGCCCTCTGGCCCGACAATTATTCTTCGGCCACCATCAAGAATTCGACTATAATAAATATATTTAAAGAGATATGTATTACGTCAAAATACCGATCATTTGATGTATTTGTAACATTTCCAGAATCGTTAGCACTTCGCTTCCTTGTGCTGAACCTAAGAAAGTTTGAAAAAAAAATATAGAAAAATATTTCCAAATAAACTAACCGATCCTGGACCCCAGATAATGTTGACAAATCCAAGTCAATATTTCTCAGTTCTTCATATGCTCTATTCAAAGCTGAATTAACATCTACTGCCATTTATATAATTTTGAATAAATAATAAACAAAAAATAATATCTCTGGAAATAAATTAAAGATTAGAGTTTTTTTTGTTTTCCAAAGATTAGAGTTTAGGAAAAAAAGTTTTTAGAAAAAATATGTAGTAAAAATTCGGTGGGGTATGATTCAGCGCCCACGATTCAGCGCACACGATTCAGCGCCAGCACGATTCAGCGCTTACGATTCAGCGCCAGCACGTTTCAGCGCTAGTTATTAAAAATTAGTGTCCGGCGCCGGACCGGATATTTCCGGAGTTCGGGTCCCAAATCCAAGTTTTCCGGTTTCCGGTTTTTTCCCGGACCGGATTAATCCTGGAAAATCCGACCGGATCCGGTCCGGCGCCGGGCACTAATTTTTTAGAACTGGCGCTGAAACGTGCTGGCGCTGAATCGTGCTGGCGCTGAATCGTGTGCGCTGAATCGTGTGCGCTGAATCGTGTGCGCTGAATCGTGGGCGCTGAATCGTGTCTAACCGGTAAAAATTGTCTCTATTTCTCGTCTTTCTTTCTAGTAATAAACAAAATGCCAAAAATTGTACGGTAAAACTTTAAAGGTGCTAGTCAGGGGTGAGCGCAAAAAACAATCTCAAAAGACGCAAGACCAAAATTTAACGCAATGCGCTCTGGTGCTAGTTGTGGCGAATTTGCGGACTCGTAATTTGCGGACGAAAGATGCGAACCCGTACTTTGCCAGTCTAATGGATCGACAGTGACTAAATTCGATAATGAATGAGTGATCTTTTTAATAAGTGATCAGACTTGATCTTGATCCATCCAATAGGAAAAAAGAAACAGCTTATCGAGGGCTATCGCATCATATATGTTTTACTTGGATTGAATCAAGGCTTAAAAAGTTATAGTCAATCAAAGCATGGTGGCTTTGATCGAGTCTTCTTTCTTCCTAGTCATTCTTCTCTCCCCAGTTCGACAAATTTCGGATCCGCAAAGGATTAAATACACCCGCTAAAAATATTGTTAAATAATTTAACAAAATATTTAGGTAATATGTACATACATAAAAATATTTTTAAAAATACTTAAATAAATAAATTTATACAAAATATACATATATGTAACATTAAAAAAATTTTCTCTATTAGTTAACAAAATGTTATTATCCTCTATTAATACATTGTTTTGTAATAATTCCATTTAATGGACAAATAATTAAGCTTTTCTCCATTAAAACACTAAAAACACAAAAAAAGACATAGGCAAGCAACATTATTGCCCCAAAAAGTTTACTCATTTTCCAACGTGTTATTGCCTTTTTAAATTTGTAAAAAATTTTTTTTGTTTTTAAATTTACCACAGAAACTATCAAAACGATAAGCATAAGAAATAAAATTCCAATAGAACAAAGCAATCCTTTAAAAAATGTAATGAAAAAATTATGCCTAGGATTTGTCGGTTTAAACTTAACCAAAGAACCGACTTTTCAATTAATTTGGTAGGTTATTATGTCCGGCCTAGAAGACCTATTGACTCTGAAGACCTACAACTTTTGAAAGGGAATATTGAAGGATTAAGGGGGATAAATACTCAGCTCTATGGAGATAAATACACAGTTCTGTTTCTAAAACCTATGGTCCGGTATTGAGTGTACCGTAACTCTGGGTGAGTAAAGATCTCTGTCCCATTCACACCAAATCTATCGATATCACCTTAATTCCTCCAAATCCCTTTCGATTTTCTTCGAAAAGTTGTAGTTCTTCAGGGTTGACTCCGGTAAAAATATGAAGAGAAAAATACCGAAGAACATTAAAAACCGAATTACCTTGACGTAAAAACACCATTTTTGGGCTTCTCATACAAAATATGCAAATGCATATTTGCCTAGCCCTAGTTATGCGAGTATAAAAAATAATTTTTTATTTAATTTTTAACCGTTTGATCCAACAGAAATAAAATCCGTCCCTTTTATCCCTTTCTTTGCAATGGACAATGAAAAATGCAACAACCAAGGAATAGGAAGACCCACACAAATATCAAAAAGATTTGAACCAATAGAGCTTGAGACAGCCATATCACCCAAACCTTTTCTCGATACAATTACACTTAAATTTTTTTAAATTTAAGGTACTATCCGATTATTTATCTTTATTTTTTTCTTCTGCTTCTTTCATTTTCTCGTTTAAAAGATAAGATGCAATTAATGGTTAATGAAATCTCCAGCTCTGCCTGTTAGAACCTTCCCGGCATACAGTAAACCTATTGCAAATAGGAGTAGTGGTACTCACAACTAGCATTGGTTCTAATTGGAGAAGCTGGTGATGAAGAAGTTGGTCATTTTGTAATCTTTAGGAGAAAGGAGAAAAGCAGGAAGCAGAAGAAAAGAAAAAGGAGGGGGGAGATAATCGGATAGTACCCCCAATTTAATTCAAAATTAGACCTAGTAATTAAATCAGGAATTGATGTTCCAGCAGCTAAAGCTGTTAATCCAATAACTTCTGTTGGAATACCTAAAGTCAATCCTGCTATAGAAGCCCACCAAACCATTAAATAAGTAAATAAAGCAATCCAAATGACTTTAAAAATTTAACGAAGGTAATTTTTAAAATATTTTTCATACCAGAGCCAACAAAAGTAAATGCAGCATATTTTTTCCGATCCTGAAAAAGGGGAATTTTGATCTGCGGTGCTAAAAATTGAATTTTTTGCTACAACCAGCCAAAATTCTCAAAATTTTCGCCTGCGCCGCAATTTGGAATTGTCATTACAAAACTCATTGCGGCGCTTAATTTTTTTAGAGATATCGAGAATCTAGGATATCCTCCTCAATTTCTTTTAGTTTCCTAGTCCTTTGACATCCCCTGATATTACTCTTAATCTGCCAAATCACCGGTATCTTCGTCACCCTATATTGGAGATACTTATTCTCAATTTTAGGCTGAATTCAAATTTTTAACTGGCCCGACGACCTGATACCCGGACTTTTTTCGACCCGAAGCCCGATCCGAAGAAAATTTTGAAAACCCAACACGTCTCTTTTTCTTAAGGAGTGAACTTCGAAAACTACAGGAAATACTCCACGGAGAAATACTCTGTCCAATGATGTTTTTGTCACTTCTTGCACCTCCCTAAGACCTTCCGTTAGTCTCCGATTTCCTAAATATTCACCTCAAAATTAATACAAACCTCTCTTTTCACATCCGGAAGAGTATAAGCTAAAGGAAACATTATTGGTGCAAGAAAAATAAAAACACATCTTTTATAAAAAGTTTTTGGCCAAGAAAGGTCTACAGATTCTTGTTGTTCTTCTTCTTCACCTACTTTTTCTTCTTCGTTTACTTCAATAGTATCAATGACGACTCCACTTTCCATCATAACTTCAGGCGAGGATAGACCATTTCCGTTACTGTCTCCATTGCTATTTTCCCAATTAAATTCATGTTTTTGGTAATCTGCATCATTTTTAGTAAAATCTTCTTCTACCGGGGGAAGGTGAGAAGAGGCTCCCTTAAATGTTTTTAATGTATTTTACTAATTTTGTATTGTCCTAAAAATACAATAATTCAACAAATAATAATTTCAGCTACTTACCCCCATTGACAAATTTTTGTTTGACGGAACCAGATTTACAGGCGGAAGCCCATTGGTAATTCCTGTAGCTACAAATAGTTTAATAAATAAATATAAATAACATAAATTGAGCCGAACCATTTATAGATACCTTATGTATTAGGTAATCCTAACTTAATCCTACTTTAGAGGGGGAAATAAATCCCCAAATTTCGCCTTTTTTTTATGTTTCTTATTTCGCTTTTTAAAATCTGTTCCGGCACAACTTATAATATGGGGTACCTCCCTCCCAGTAACTAGAGAGATAAATTGTGTTTTTCTTGCATATTTTCGTGAATATTTTAGCTTAAGAGTATATTTTTGTGCATTTTTTTGTATTTTTTCATGCATATTATAGTGCATATTTTGAATTTTTTAATGCATAAATGTCCTCCCTCTAAACATAACTGAAATTGAGGGCTAGCTAATTTTATGTCTATGTAAGTAAAATTGAGATTCGACTGTAAATAGTTTGAAAACATTAATAACCTTTATTATTAGGCAATATTCCATTGTTTCCTGTATTGGCTGGAGAAACCAAAATAGTCTTAATATTCTCATTTTTTATTGCAGTTGATGAAAGAGCATAAGCAAAGGAAGGAAGAGAACAAGTTTTGTCAAGTCGTCTACTACTCCTTCGACCTTTGTGGTGTCCTCTAGCAGTTGATGCAGCATTCCGTCTGGATAATGCAATTATATGGTCGGCTGACTCTCGCTTTCGTATAATCCGCGTTGAATCTGACCGTGTTTATTTAAACTTTTTTTTGATCAAATCATTAGTTATCAATTTTAGTTAACTACCGTATTTTCTCGACCAATTCCCCATGCCAGGGATGGGTTGAAACAATAATTCCCCTCCTCCAAGTGCTCTCTATTACACGTTCAAATTTCAAATTTCGAATAATTCCCCAACCTAAGGACTGCTAAAAATATTAATTTCAAGGGGAATTAAGCGAGAAAATACGGTAGTCCTATTAAAAGTATTTCAAGAAAAGTTTTGGTTAATCTACTTTTTCCCCTGGCCAAAGGAAAAAACTTTTGCCTAAAAATCTCCTCGCCTTGGTTATTAATGTAGTTCCGTAAAATTTTATTAATGTAGTTCGCGGTTATAGGGGAAATGCCAAATAAAAAATATTTTTTCTAAAAATTATTTATGAAAAAGAAAATGAAGTGCTAGATATTTTAGAGAAGAATAAGAAGAAGAACAAACTACAACAAAAAATTTATTTAAAATTATTTAAGGAAATATGGAAGAAATCATTAATATGTAAAGAAATGGACAAAGAAATTTATATTAAAAACATAATTTTAATTATTTTTTACAGGAGTAAATAAGAGTGGATTAATTTTTCCCTTCCTTTTTAAATAAATTATTTTGGCAATTGAAGAAATAGGGAGGGGCTCTAAAATGAAAAGAAGAAAGAAGAGACGGGAGAAGGAAGGAGATGATTATTCAACTTTTTTGTTTCTACAAAGGCAATGTAGTTTTAGCCATTTGTTTATAGAAATATCTGATTTAGACTGAGAAATGTGTAAAAAAATAAATAAATGTACATATTACAACAATGAAGGATGGAAAAAATGTTAAGTATAATTTATGTAAAAGGAATAATTTATATGTGGAAAAAATTGGAGGAGGAGAAGTGGGAGAAGAAAGAAAAGTGTAAAAAAATAAAGTTTTTATTTTGCAAAAAGCATAAAATATGTAAAGATCGAAAAAGTAGATAAGGAATTTGGATTAAATTAATTATGTCTATAAAGCAGTTGTTCGTTTTAGATTTAAAGATTAAACATTAAATGTTGCAAAGTAGGTATTTTTTGGAGGGTTATTTTTAGAAAGCAGGAAAAGGAAGAAAAAAGAACATGTCAGATGGAAGAAAACTCAAAAAGACTAGGTAATAATATACGAAACAGGGGTGTGCCAAAACAGATTTTAAAAAGCGAAACGTGAAACACTAAAAAGGTGGAAATCCGCATAACTGACACACCCCTGATACGGAACTACAAATTTGGCTACCCAAAAATAAAACTATGAAAAATACATATTTTCAGAAAAATCAGATTATTTAAAATACCTGAAAATGCTGTTGATTTTGTCCCAATGTCCTTTAAAAGCTTATTTGGATCCATAGCCAACTAAAAATGAATCAAATGACTTAGAAGAATTTTAAAAACCTGCAAAATTCCAGGATAGATTTCCGGAAAATTAGCACCTGCATGAAGCAGAGGCCTTCTTACATTTAGTTCAACACCATAAACATTTTGAATTTGTGGTGTTTGTTCGTTGAAGTTATTTTTTGAAAAATCAGAAGGGGTAGAGGTTGTTGCATTATTATCTCCCCCTTCATTAACTTTGATATTTGGTGCTAGTCCATCTGTTGTCTAAATAATGAGATAAATTAGTGAGAAAAAAGTGAGAAAAAAGTCTGGATTTGGGATTACTAGGGAATTGCTAGGGAAGGGAAAGGAAGTTAGGTTGGGGTTCGGGTCGGGGAGAGGTGTTCAGGACATCCAAAAAATACAAAGTTAGTTTAAAATACCATTTTATCTACATTCAGTCCACATATATAGCCTAATCTTTCTTTAACCCAACGTTCTATCGTTGAATTGTATTTCATAAAAATTGCATAAATTATATAAAATGCAAACATCGCCAAAGCTTCTGTCCAATAAATACGTTCATCCATGAAGAAAAAACTTAAACAAAGAATAGCAACTCCGTAAAATGTAACATCGCTAAAAATTGTTTGAATGAATTTTAGCTGATTTTTAACTAAAAATACCGATAAAGCGGCCACCAAGTCAGGCAAAGAACATTCCTCGAAAAAAGTGTGCAAAAGGAGAGAACGCAAAGTATGTTGAATGTTGCACTTCCAACAATTGTGCCAACACCTACATTGTTTTCTGTTATGAACACACCAAAGAGTGAAGTAAACTGTTAAACAAAGAGTGGTTATGTGTAAATCGGTTTAAATTTACTTTTTAGAAAATTTATAAAAAAGTTTATAAACGGTAGAAATTTATATAAATTAAATTGATTTATGAGCCAAGAGGGGCAAATCCCCATTGATCAAATAACCCTAAATGTTAACTCCCAAAAAGTAGGCCAATAACTCCCAAAAAGTAGGCCAATTATAGGGTAGACTTTCTGGGTGTTGATCATTTGGGCTGATCCCGTAAAGCTTAAAAGCGAACAAATTCGGGTGCAGAACCGCCAGCTGCCATGAATGTAGCTCCAGCAACATCGTCACTAATTTCCAGCTAAAACAATTTGTTACGAAAATTAGCTTATCTTTAACCGGCGAATATAGTGTAGTGTAACGGTAGTAAAAGTTGTGGACAAGACTGAAGTCATTCGATTCGTCTCGACGAGCTGAGTCGAATGGTACCACTCCCTACTTTAGGAAATGATTCTGGACCGAGATAATTGGGCTCTAAATCGTCCAAAAGACGACTAGCTGATTTAAGGTGGTCAAAAATTCAAATATGCAAATAATAGCTTTTTCGAAAGAGCTCGATGAACTGAGTCGAATGACAGCAAAATCAGCTCGTTGAACAAGTTTAAATGAAGTTACGATACATAAAACAAACAACGTACCTATGGGAATTGGCGAGGCGTGTGACGCGCCTAGCGGGGCGTTAACAGGCGCTGGCAAGGCAAAAACACCCAAGCAAAAACATCCACGGAGACCATAGGTAAGGAGGTAAAACAGGCGGTCATAGCTTCTCATAGCCTGTTCAATCAAGCTGATTTTGGTGTCATTCGACTCAGCTCGTCAAATCGTATAGAATGACATAAGTGTTTCGTCCAAAACTCTTACCACCGGTACACTACAGCCAAATAACCTACCATTTCAGTAATTACACCTAGAGAAGGCACAAAAAACTCATCACAAACAATTGCCAAAGCTATAAACATGTAAATTAGCCCAAAAAAGTGTAAAGCAACAGCTCCACGTCTTCGTTGTTGTAGTGTGAACAAATCCGCCGGGAAAGGGTTTTGTTCTGGTTTGCTTCGATTTCCTTAAGATGAGAAAGTTTTCTGGGCGCCCATAATTCATCCCACCAAAGATTCTTCCCCCCTAAGTTTTCCCTACAAAACAGCTCCACATCGCCCCCCCCCCTAAATTGTGATTAAAGAGTATCTAGGGATTTTATTATTTACTTATAAATCACCTAATAAACATCCATTGTTTCTATTAAACATTGCTGTATTAACCTCCCTACTTCTCCTTAGATTTTTTGGCTTGTAATTGCTGTCAGAATCCTCAAATGTTGTTAATATAAAAATGAGTGCAGAAATAAAAAGAGCAGCAAGCAAAAATAATGGCAAATAGCATCTTACAATTTGATGGCGTTTTTGTAGAAATTCTACTGAAAAATATTAATTGTAATTAGTTTAGGTATCACAAAGGCTATTTATGAACTTACATGTAGAGGAGGGGGTGGGTGTTAAGGATTTTTACATACTTTTAGTATTTATGTGAATATAATGTCTCGGGATTTACAAACAAAGCTGGACCCAATTGCCTTCTAGGGTCGTGTCTTCTGTTAAGGAAGGGGCTAAACTAAAGCAGTCACCAACTGCCGCCAGGTATTTAACCTGATTTTCCTGTTAATTTTCCTGCAAGTTTCACTTACCTCTATTTTTAATAATAAATTTTTTTGTTGTTTTTGTTCTGGTTATTGTAGAGAATTTACTATATCTTTTGTTATTTTTTGGCCTAATATTGTTGAACTCTCGATTTAGTAGCATTTATTCTCCCATAAATTTGTTTTTTTAATTAAATTTTTATCAATTTCTTTAAAAATAAAAATATTTTTAATGCTTAGGCAATCCTTAAAATGTTAGCTTTTACACTTGTAGAGCCATTAAGTGCCCCAGGGATGAATTAAATGGATGCCAGCTGCTTGGACGACGACTTTATGTGTGAAATCAAAAAGTTCTCTCCCGAAAGCGCGCAAAATAGAAAAAAATGTTTGGAGTAAGTTTCTCAGTTTTCAAGCTTTTAATGAAGAAAAGCTTAGAGTAAATAAATAAATGCTGGAAGAGATTAACAAGGGTAAATGTCCGTTTTGTCCCCCCCCCCCTACCTGTCCGCAATGGGAATACGCACTTTTCATTCCCTTTTTTTGTTAGGAGATGTTCTCGCTTATTTTTTCTTTTCTGCATTTTGGAACTTGGAATAAAAAAAAAGAAAATAATACAAATTAATTAATAATTAAGTGAAAACAAATACATACATTTATTTATCCTTGGACTTTTAGGATTTCCTGATAGAATAATAATGAATGAGATAAAATGACCAGGATTTATTTTGAAATTTTACTCAGGTTTTCGAATTTTGTGAGTAGAGAATCAAACGGACATTTACCATTAACAAGGCAAAAAATTATTTTTTTAAATGGAATAGTACATATGTATTAGGAAGAAATAATGCAAAAAATTAATATACAATTGATGAAAACTTAAGAATATTAATTAAATAACAGCTTATAGTTACAGTCAGACCTCTGTTCTGATACCTCCTTACGGCCAAGAAATAATATCTATGATAGACTTAGCTTAGGTAGACTTATTAGCTATGATATTAACTAGGGTTGCGCGAGGTCGAGGCCTCGACGAGGCCGAGGTCGAGGTCCTCGCCCATTTTCCAATCTCGGTCTCGGTTCGACCGGTCCTCGGTCTCGGAGCCTCGGTCTCGATCCTCGTCAAAAACCTCGCCGAGGAACGAGGCTAAATATACACCCCTAAGAATGGACTCTTTTGGATGAAATGGGAGAATTTTTGCTTATCGTCCTTCCTAGAATCTCAAAATTTTCGCCTGCGGCGCAAAAAATGATGAAATCTGGCTTCTTGGCTTACCAAAATTCTTAAAATTTTCGCCTGCGGCGCTAGAAAAGCAAGAAATCTGGTTTGATTCCCAAAATTCGAAAGATTTTCGCCTGTACAATGTTGTTCCTTTATATCTAAATTAAACGATATCTCTGTGCACTCCCATTATCCACTAAATCGCTTTATGGCACAACTTAAACCATAAAAACCTCCTAATATCTTCCACCGATATTTATTAAATTCCCCTTAATCCCACTACATCCGCTATATACCGTTTATCCTTACAAATTCCAAGATATTCGACCAAGTATGAGTTGTCTGATCTATATTGGGTCCCCTACTGGATCTGAATATGATGGAAATTATTAATTTAAAATTATTTAGCAAGTATCTGATAAAATTTAGTAACTTTAATTAAATTTTTAAAGGATTAAAATTTTTTTTAAAAATCTCGGTTATCCTCAAACCTCGACCTCGGACCTCGTTTGAAATTTGACCCTCGACCTCGAACCTCGCTTTTTCAGTCTCGGTGATCCTCGGTTTTTTCGAAAAACGTCGACCTCGCGCAACCCTAATATTAACCGCTCAGAGCAGTTTTCCCTACTCAGTAACCAACAACTTTTAAAAACTTCTTAAATTAAGTATTTCCTAATTTTATTTGTCTTTTAAATGAGGATTTGACTTATCTCTAATCTCTAACACATCGCCCTCGTATCATACAATGCATGAATTAAAGAGATACATATATGAGGGGGAGTCAAAATAGACTAAAACACACTCTCGAAACCGACATCTGTATCCTTTGGTCTAATTTTTCTATTTAATTCTATTAATATTTTTTCCTACCCCTTTTATTCATTTACCTTATATGTATAATGGTCACTCAAAAATTCCTCCATACTTTTTATTTTTCAATTATTGCGTGTCGGCTGGTAGCGCATGACTCGATGGTCATTCTTTCTCATTCTTTTCTCCAAAATATTTTTTTTCTACCCATTTTTTCATGCATATTTTGTCCAGCCGGATCAGCTTTTCTTCTCCAACTCCTCGCCCAATGTCCATTTATCGCCAACGACCTTCATTCACATTTATTTTTTCTCTCTATTTTTTCTTTTCATAAATTAATTTATCCCCTTTTTTCGTTGACAGTGGTCAGCAATAAATAAATACAGGGTGCGCCATAAGTAACCGGACACTTTTAAATTCCTTATAACTTTTTTTGTTGTCAATATTTTTAAACGATTTTTTGCTTATTTTTTAGCCCATTCAATTCTCTATCATGGCTAGTCAACGTGATTCTATAATCTCACTTTTTTCGCAAAAAAATTCAGTCCGCAAAATTTCATCTCTTTTGATTGTCCCAAAAAGCACTGTACAATACACTTTCAAAAAATTCTGGTGAAATTTTTTGGGAGAAAATTTTTTTGAAATTAATTTAGTAATGATGGCACAACTAAGAACTTACAAAAAAGTGGAAGACCTAGTTCCGTCAGCACTTCCAAGAATATTAAAATGATCAAAAACTAGGTGCATCGCAATTCTCGACCCTCCATGAGAAAAGTGGCTCGTGAAACCGGAATAAGTGAGAGGACCGTAAGACGAATAGCCAGAAATGAACTTGGGTTAATACCATACAAAATCCAAAAATCACAACTGCCAACAAAAAAAACCAAAAAAGTTAGGCTTGAAAGATGCAAACTCCTCCTACAGTGGCACGCATGTCCGGACATTTTCTTTACAGACGAAAAAATTTTTACGATAGAAGCCGTTCACAACCATCAAAATTATAGAATTTGGACTTCAGAATCTCCTCTTTCCGATGAGCTTATCACTCATTTCCAACATCCCCAATCTGTCATGGTTTAGGCCGGTATTTGCGCGTCAGTCAAAAAACCCCTTATTTTCGTGGATTTTGGTGTAAAAGTCAACAAAGACTATTACTTGCGAGAATTTTTTCAGCGTGTTCTGAAGCCTCGGTTCAAGAGCCATTTCGGTCGCAGGGTCTGGATTTTCCAACAGGACTCTGCTCCGGCACACAAGGCGAAAGAAGTTCAGGACTGGTGCAAGGCCAATTTTCCTGGGTTCATCAGCGCTCAGGAATTACCGCCCCACTCCCCGGATTTAAACCCGAGGATTATTCTGTTTGGTCAATTTTGGAGTCCAGGGTCTGTGCTAAGCCTCAAAAAAGTTTGGAGTCTCTGAGCCATTCTCTCACCCGGGAGTGGGACTTAATTACACTCAAAGAGGTGCGTGCTATTTGCAAAAGTTTTTCTTCGCGCCTTCGCCTCTGTATCAAAGCCAAGGGTGGGCATTTCGAAACTTCTTGATTATTTTTGTTCCTTATTTAATTCTCTATCATCTGATTGTATTTTGATTTTATTGGATTGTGTTTTAATAAAGTTATGAGAGAAAACAAGTGTCCGGTTACTTATGGCGCACCCTGTATATATCAACTAAAACTTAAAAACCCTCCAAATAACTTACCGTAAATATTCTAATAGAAGCCCGGCTCCATTAAAAACTCATGCCCTATTAGAAGCCCACTCAATAATATCCATTAAAGAACAAACCCCCCAGAGCTTCTATCAGAACATTTACAGGTATATTTAAAAATTCCAAAGCTTTAACTAATTTTCTTTTCCATCATTCTTGGCCACCCAGACGAACATCCTTCCATTTTTTTACATTTTGTCTGGCGTGATATTTTATACCCTCTGGACAGCCGTTATTTTATACGTTTTTACTAATCGATCATTTTTTAATTTTTTTATTTAATGGAATATTTTTAAAGCCTCGAGAATGTACATATATCTTTCCGTTCCTGTCCTTCTCATCTCTCTCTTCTCCTTAGTTTTTATCTCAAAGTTCCTCTAATCCCCAGCCTAGGGCAACAGTGTTTTGATGGGCACTGTTGGCCATGAGAGAGGAGATAGCTAAAGAGGATAGCTATATATAATTAGTTTGTCTGGACAGCGGACGTGAATAGAAAAAGGAGGGGAGGGGGAGGGGGCTGCTTTTTTATATTTTTTTTCTTTTTATTTTTGCAAAAAAAAAAATAAATAAATAAAATATTTGTCGGATGGCCGTCTAGTATTTTTATAATGTTGTTGTTGTTTCTTTTTATTTTTGTTTTGTTGTTTTTACGAACAAACCAGCTGGCTTAGAATTTATAGCCAAGTATTATTTTGGGGGAAATATTTTCTCTTTTAAAAATTATTTTTTTAATTTTTTTAGTTTAATTTTTTCACTATTTGTCATTCTACCCCTTAGTTGCTAAAATAATTACTCAGGGTATTATTGTTTCAAGCTGCCGTTGGAGGGAGTAATTAATAGGGCAGGGGTAATTATTTAAGCTTTTTATAGAAAAACTAATTATAACTATTTTAAGGTGGTAATTATTTTTACGACCTCTGGCTGAAGGGAGGGGGGGGGTAACTATTTGAGAGAGAGAGACATTATTTCAGCATTTACGGTATATTAATCAGAACTTATTCAAAAATCTCGGTTATCGAAATCGATATTTTTCGAGATATCTCGTACGACAAAATTTTTAGGTTCTCAGATTTTTCGAGAAGCGAGATTTTTTCGAGCTATCGATTTCGACACTTCTATTCAATCTCGAGTAATCACTGTTAAAAATGTTAATCTACTGAGCCTTCTTAGAATTATCTACCTTATCCAAACACAATTGTCCAGACATGGGCTATTCTTTTATTTATATTCTTTTTCAAGTATACAAAAATATTTGTTTGTTTATCTAAGCCTTCTAGCCCCTTCCAAACAATTTTTTCTTTCTTTCAACTTTCCCCTACCCCAAACTTCTTTTATTTTTTACTTTCACGTAAATTTATTTATTTATTTATTTATTACTTTTATATAGCCCCACCCCTTACCCCCTTTACAAATTTTCTGGCCTTTTTTCCGTGCGCACCTACTTACTACAATTATTCATTTTTTTGCTTTTTGTCTGTTTGTTTATTGTCTGATTTTTACTATTATTATTTTTATCTTTTTGTCTACAAAAAATACAAAAAAATACACACATTACTTTCGTTTATTTTTATTTATTTATTTTTATTGTTTAATCCCTTAAATTCTCTGGACAGTTTTTTTATTATTTCTATTTTTGTATATAATCAAAATAATTTTTTATCATAATAATTGACATACAAAATCTAGAAGATATACACTCTTTTTTACTTTATTTTTATTTTTAGCTCTTTTTTTGTTTTTTCCCGCATCCACTTTTTGTTTTTCATTTATTCTTGTCTTCTATTGCTTCGTAAAAAACGTTGGAGCAACGTCCAGTTTGTATACTACCCCTACCCCCCCCTCTCCCCCCCTACCCCCTCCCCTTTTTTTTATTTTTTAGCGTCTGGCCCCGTATTTCTGGGCCATTTTCTATTTTTTCTCTTCTTTTGCAATCGTACAAACGAATGGCCATCCATCTACTAAACAAGTCCTCTCCTCTCTTCTCTTTTCTGGCCAGTCGGATGATTAAAAAATGTGTGGACGTTGGCTATTATTTCCTTGCTTAACATTTTTTAGTTGCTCTGTTGGTCACTCAATAAACTAAAAAAGTAAAAAAAAATAAACTAAAATGGGGGGAGAATATTTCACAAAAACAACATTTGTCACACACTTTATTTTTTATATTTTTAACTAAAAACGTCAAATATCTAATCGAGTATAATCATATTTATATTTCTACATTATACATATTTACATTGTTTAAATCAGAATTTTAATTTTCAGAATTATTTTCTTTAGAAAATTCTGATTTTTATTATTTAACGATATTCTGACTTTTTATTTCAAGTAAAAAGTCAGTTCATTCCCTTTCTGATTAAAAAGTCAAGTTTATTACCTTTCTGATTTTAAAATTTTAATCAGAATTTTAATTTAAAATTTTTAGGGGTTTCAATAAACTTTTAATTCTGATTTTATTTTTCTAAAATTATTTCTTTTATTTTTAAATATCTTCGTACATTTATCTTTATAAATTTTATTTTTGTTGCCTCCTACTCTTCTCGAATGCCTTTAGTTGAAATTTTTTTATATTCTGTCTGGCCCCCTCCCCTTCCCTACAAATGTCCAGTGTTGGCAAAATAAAAAAAACGGAAAAGCGTGGTCCATTCTCTTTTTTTATACATTTTCCCATTTACTTACATCTCCAGTCTAGGGACAGCTGCAGCTGTGTGGCTAATAATAATAATAATAATAATGTGTCCATAAGGCAAGCAAAAACACGTAAATGTAGTAAACAAAATAACGAGTACACAAATAGTAGTACTATTTTTTAAAATATTTTTTTTAGGTTTATAATTGTCCATCTAGTACGTGTCCACCAAAAATATGTTATTTTCTGCTTAAAATAAACTTTAAAATATTTTTCGAGAAAATTGTTATTTTTATACCTTCCTAAATATTTCTGTGGAATTATTTCTTTAATTTTCTGGAAAATTATTTTTATATAAAATTTATTTATTTCCTTGCCAATTTCCATTTAATTTGATGTCCCAATTTTCTATTTAACCAGAGCAGCAGCCATCACTTGGTCATTGAGGGTTAGGACGACGATTACTGCTAGAAGCGTAATTGCACCTACACAATCGCGCAACAATTTTTATTTTTATATGTAACAACCAGTTTTTCTTTTATTTTTCATCTCTTTTAATTTTCGTCTACAAAAGGTAGAGAGAGAGAATCTTCTTATCAAAAACCTGTTGTGTTGCTCTTTCTTAATTCTTTTTTGTGTCCACGCCTTAAATGGGAGGGAAGGACTTTTGTGCTAACTTTTTGGCCATCCTTTGGTCCTTTTATTTTTAATCAACCTTTTGGATATATTTGAAGCTTTTTCAGCTATTTATTTGTCCTATTTTTTAGGGATTTTTTTGGTATTTTGCTTAAACTTTTTTCTATAAATTTTTAATCAAAAAAGCTCCAGCAAAAATAAAAAGAACAAAAAAAAACACCAAGAAAAATATTTAAAAAAATATTTTTCTTTTACCGGCTGTCATATATAAAAATACTTAAAATAATATAAGAACGCCTATATCATTTGGCCAAGTGTCCGTTGGTTGGGGTAGAGGAAAAATTGAAGACAGTTCACAATAAGAAAAAGAATATTTTTTTTTATTTTTCTGTTTTTGTTTGGTTGGTTGGTTGGTTGATTTGTTTTATTTCTAAAAATGTTTCGAGGGGAGGAAGGAGGGGCTTTTTGTTGCTTGCTCATTTTTTTATGATTAAGTCTTTTAATGTTTGTAGGTATTCTCTCTTTTTTCTGTTTGTTTACTCATGGCCAGTCTCGGCCACCAATCTCGCATTCTTCTTCTTTCTTTTCCTTTTTTCCTTTCACTTTTATATATTCCTTCTTTCTTTAAAAGCATGTTCGGACATTTTGATATAAATAATATTAAATATTATTAAAAATTATTACTCAAAAATATCATTTTCTGTTAGCCTATTTATTTTTTGCTGGAAAGTTTTTACTAGAAATTATGCTTCTGAGACAAAATCTCTATTTACAAATAACTTTCCGGAAATCTTTTTTGTTCTTTCTGCCAAAATTTTCATTTAAAACTTTTTATAACACTTCAAACTAATTTTAGTTTCGCTTCATCTTCATTTTTTATTTATCTTTTCTGTTAAATTTTTTTAGGTTCAAATTTGTTTTTTATTTTAATCTCTCTCTTTTGCTTAATTAACAAAATTGTAGCCCTTTGTTGCTTTTCTACTCACCTATCAATTTTACCTTTGTTTCTATTTTTGTTTTTTAATAAAAACATTTAACTCTAAAAATAGCCGAAAGTAGCACAAAACAGAAAATCTTGAGCACGACTTTTTTCCTTCTATTTATTACATATTATTCCATCCACTCGCCTTTAAAGTCTCTTTTAATCAACTTTTTCAAATCTTCAACTTGCTTCAACCTTTTAGTTGTTTTACAAACTTCAACTTTTCTTCAATTTTTGTTTTATTTAAAGTTTAAAAAAAAGATGGTCACGAGATTCCGGTAAGGACGAAGGCTATTTATTCCTCTCCACTCCCGTTCGTCTTCAATATATGTCAACCGGCTGGCTGTATTTTCTCTCAACCAACGTCCCCTCCCCCTCCCTTCTTATTTGTTGTATTGCGCCTTTGTTTGTTCTCAACAAATAGAGACAGCGCAATTCTTCTTTTTACACAATCATTTTTCTATACAAAAGCGAAAGTGAACACTCACACGGATTGAAAGGAGAAACGTGAAAAAAATTTTTTTTTGGTTGGAGCAAGTGAAAGATGAGGATCGGAAAGAGGTAAAAAAGAATAAAAAAAGTAAATGGGCAATTTTTGAATGACTGAAATATTCGATTATTGATAGAAAAAAGGTTGAGGTAATGATGGCCATGCTGGACTACCCTCTTCAAACACTCAAACAAAAATTTATATTAAATTAAAACATCTAATCGGCATTTTTAGGTTGTAAAGGCCTTAAAATAAATATGTACCTAAATTAGGTTGTAAACATAAACCCCCTGTAAATATAAAATATTCAAAAAATAGTTTGAGCTTCTCACGCGGTAACTATTTCAAAAAAAGTTTATACCCTAATAATCCGATCCCTAGCCATTTGCAAATTGTTTCATTTCAAGTCTAATTTTCTTCGAATTTTCCTCCTTTAATTCTCATTTAATTTTATTAGTTGATTTCCTTCAAATTTTAATCTTTTAATATTTATTTCCTTAATTTTCTTTTTATATTATTTATTTGACCATTTTCTTTTACTTTTTTTGTCATTTCTTCTTCAAATTGTCAAAAAAATATTGCGCAATCCTTCCCTTAAAATGCCCTATTTCCCTTTTGAACATAAGGAAAATTTTTTTATAAAAATTGGCGAAGTAAAGAAAGGATCAGCCGACCATTCAGTCTGTCAGGGCAACAAACACACAACCGGCCAGCCATCAAAAAATAAAATAAAAAAATTCGCATTGTTTGTGCTCCCCAAAAACAGCAACAACAACAACCTCTCCATTTTTTATGTCCCATTATCTACTTCACTATTCCCAAAAAATTTTCTTCATTTTTAAAAAAATTCATTTACAATTGGACACAACTACACATCTAGTACATATAATAATAAAACTTGTTTTATTAAAAGGAAATGGGAGAGAGGAGGGAGGGGAAATATAATTTTTAAATGGAGTTAACTTTATAGTGGAGATTAAAGGATTGGGGAAGATTTATTTTTGAAAAGAGATTTTGAGGAGAGTCCTTCAAAATTAAGGTTCTGTTTTCGAATCTGTCCGACGTTACAGGCATTATTCGGGCTTGTTTTTATCGGAAAAGGGCCGGATACTTTCGGGCCAGATATCCTATGCAGATATCCTATTCAGACCGAGTCGGTCCATTTTGAAAACCCTATTCAAAATGATAAGATAAAGAAAATTCTAACTATTCTTCTAACTATTTTACATTTTTTTATTGTCCCTCACTTCACCTAGTATATGTATACAAATGTCACTCAACAAAAGGGACGTCGGTCCACGGCGCCAGTCGCGTGAAGAGTTGAGAGGGTTAAAGCAATTTTTAGAGGGAATATATAAAAAGAGAATATAAAAAAGAAAAGGGATCGTTGAAGAGCTGGCCAAGCATGAGTGGGAGGTTGGTGGTGGTGGTGGGGTGGTGGTGGTGGGGTGAGTGGAATGAATAAAGCAAAAAAAAATGACGAAGTTGACTGACTGTGAGCCGATTTCTTTTTTCCCTCAAAAAGCTAGGCTAAAATAACTGGAACCAATGCTATTTTATAGATAATTTGAGAACTTTAATCCTCTAACTATTTGGGTATATCTGCTAAATATTAGTTGAACCAATTGGTATTGAGCGGTCTTTAAAAAATATTTTCGAACCCTTACAGGTTGTTTTGAAATTTGATTTTTGACCTATTTGAAAGCCCTTGAAATTTGCTGCAAGATGGCATTTGCCTTAATCCTTCGGAAAAATTCATTGTGAGATACAAAACGTTAATCCTTCGAAGCAACAGAAAACGCCTAAATGCCTCTTAAAATGGCCGTTAAAGTCGCTTTTGACAATTAATCAACTGTATCTCGCTAATGGATATTTTCTGTAAAATGAGATTAATGATATCAAGGGCCTTCAAGTAGATCAAAAATCAAATTTCAAAACAAACTATAAGGGTTCGAAAATATTTTTTAAAGAGACTTACCCCTTTTACGTTAATTTTCGAGGTTTTCGGGGTTTTCGGGGTGTCAGGATCACGACACTGAAAAGAGAAATGGGCCTAATTTTTTTATAATACATATATGTTAAATATATCAAAATACAAAATCTCAAAAAGTGGGTTATACTTTTGAAACAGCGTGTAGAATGCCGAAGGTGATTGAAAAATAAAATTTTTGTTTCAATTATTTTCACCTGCTTCTAAATTGTTTGTTTCGTTTTAATTTTGTAAATATTTATTTTTGTTTCTACTATTTTTAATTCCTTTTTAAATACTTTTTTAAATTTTTCCATCTTTCGATTTTTCTTTTTGCAAACAAATTCTCGCCCTTTCCTTTTCTCATTCGATTTCCGAATGGCCATCGACTGCTGTTTGGTCGAACGAACGGCTGGCGCTGGTCGCTGTATAAATGGTCTCTGATCTCTCCTTGTGACCAAATGGCCTTCTTCTTTTACTTGCATATTCTTTCTCTCTCATTTTTTTATTTTCACATTTTTTCTTCAATACTTTCATTTTCCCGTGTGTTCCATTCCATTCTAATCTCGCCCTTTTTTTAACTCTTTCACTATTGTGCTTTTTCTTTACTTTTATTTTTGCCATTGTATGTCCCCATATTAATTTATGTCCCCCATTCCCCCCATATTATGTCCACATATTAACTAGAAATGCTGGCCAAGACAATATTTTTTCCAAAAGGCCATCCATTTTTCTTCTATAGGTCACGGGATTTGTAAACTAAAAAATAATCCCATTCTTTCCCCTTTTTCCTTTTAGCCACCAAGCATTTTCTATTTTTTGCCCTTTTCACTAGAAAATCTAGAAAATAGTGAATTTTTACAGAGGTTCTTTGAGAAGGTCCGCGGGTCCATTCGTTCCAACCAACTGTCATGGACACATCTCTAACTCTCTTACTTCTTTTACTTAATCCTTTTGAGTTCCACTGAGACCTTCTTTTTATTCTTGGAACGATTCTTTAGCCATTGGAAGGCTCCGAGGAAGAAAATTTTTAAAAGAAATTTTTTTTAATTTTTGACTCTAATTTAAGTTTTATTCTTTTCTTTTTCTCTAACCTCAACAACTTTTCTTAGCCTTTTCCACGCAAATGTTAGGGTGAGTTAGAGGAGAGTGTGACCGGCTGGTTGGTTTGTAGCTTTGGCCATTGCTGTTTTTCGCACTTATTTTTTTCTTCTCTCTCTCTCTCTCTTTTATTTTTTACTATTATTTTATTCTCTTCACGTCTCTCAACAAACAACCAGTTTTTTGCTGTCCAATACCCCACACACATATTAAATATATTCCCATAGCTATACACTAATTCTCTTCTCTTTTCTCCATCAAGCATTGAAGACAGCCTGTTCGTCTGACTGGCTGCTCTTCACCCTCTTTTCTCTCTCTTTTTTATCTCTTTCCTCTTTTTCTTTCAAATGGCCAAAAACGGCTGCTGGCCAGTCGTTGTCTCTGTCGTCCTCGTCGGTTGGCGACTGGTTTGTAGTGTTGTCAGATGGCCTCTCCCCCCTTTTTCTTATTTCCTATTTATTCTCTTTTTTTATTGTTATTTACCCACGTTCCTTTTCTCTCCGTTTTTCGCCTCATTTTCTTATTTCGTTTTTCTTTTTTTTTGCTTAGTCCAGTCCCTTCCAAATGTCCGTCCGTCAAATAGTTGTTCGTGTTCATTTTTCTTCCTTTTAAATTTTTTCTCGATCGATTCACGCACATTTTCACCTCAAGAAATAATCATAATCACCAATAAAAATGGCCTTTAAAGATTTTTGTGTTGCTATTCGTTGAGTTTAAATTTTGATTTTCCTCGTTTATTTATTTGCTTTAAAACTTGTTGAGATGTCAAGATTTTTTGAAAGCCTGTCATATCAGAGCGGACATATCGGGATATTTCAATGCACGAACAGTTACCCTACTGATCTTGGAACCTACATACTGACACTGGGTCTCATTGACCTATTGAAGTAAAGTGCTTTTATTTGTAAAATTAGCAGTTATTTTTCTCACAGCAATCCAGATACCTTTATCCGAACCGATATGTCTCCATACCATCTTTTCGAGTTTGAAGTTTGGATTTTCTATTTTTCTAAGTCAGGCCAACGTCCGAGACAATTTTTCCGTTCTCAATTCTTTTCTTGTTTGCTTCAATTTTTTAAATTTAAAATTTGTACTTATGGGTACACCTTTTTACAACTTCTTTTGTCTTTTTAAAAATAAAGGTTATCTTTCCTCTACCTCTCCAATCATTAAAATATTCTTTCTTTTCATTACTCTCTTAAAAATCCTTTTGGCCATAATTATTTAAATTGGGTGGCTCTTTAAACAATTTGGACACCTGCTTTTTCTTCTTTTTTCATCCCCACATTTATTATACATATTTTTTCTCTTCTTTTATGTAATTTTTGGGGAAATCTTTTCTTTAAAAATTTTTTAAATTAAAAGTTAACTGACCCGGCTATTATTGTCAGCCGTGGCCAAAAAGTGGAGACCGTATTTCCTACAATATTGCTTAACAGGGCTGTATTTTTCAACTATCCTTCAGACTTGGGATTTATGTATTAAGAGGATAGGGCACTAATTGAGGGGGGGGGCTTTATTAGTGGGAATACGGTAATTAATATTAATTTTTTATTCATTTATTATGACTTTAAAAACCATTTTATTAAGAAAAGCGTTTTCCTGAAATGTTCACCTTTATCGCCTAAAACGTTTTTAAAAGCTGGCCACAAGCTCTTAGACGTCCTCAACAATTTTTTCCTCTCAACGCTATTTTTTATTGCCTTTTAAACATGTTTTATCTCTCCCTCTCTGACCACTCTTTCCAACAATGTTCCTCCCCTAAGGCGGTTGGCAATAGCGGCTGGCTGACAGAAATGTATGACAGAAAATATAATAGCAACAACAACAACATACCAAATAACCAAAAAGGCAAAAAAATTTTTTTTGTTTTTGTACTTGGAAGAGGTATTATATGCATTTTATCTTTTCTTCCAATATTTATGGCTAAAAATAGAGAAGAATCTTTTTTTTTTGGTTGCCTTCAAATGTAGTGGTCGTTCAGCATAATCACCCCACCATTTGAGTATTTGTAATTGAATTACTTTATTTCTATTTAATTTTTTTTTCATATCAGTTGGAAAAATAAAAATAAAATAATGTGCCCAATGGCCTCATAACCAACCGCCCCAACTGGTCGTTTGAATTGCTATTTAGTAGTACATACTTTTTTTATTAATTTCGTTATAACCTCCTTTTCTCATTTTTAATATAACCGTCCGGTTCTCGCTAACAGCGTTCGCGCTTATTTTTTCTAAACTTTTTTTTTTCTATTAAACAGGTTCACAAACACACCTCCATGCGTTTTTTCTTTTTTTTTACGCAATCACCTTTTCCTTAAAATTTTTTTTCTTTAAAAGTTGTATCCTTCTAAACACGATTTTATTTATTGTATTTATTTTTTTAAGAAAATTTATTTAAAAAAAATAAATTTTTTCAGTAATGTAGTATTTACTAAAATCTTGTAAATTTTTTTACTTTTTTGTCTTACATATAAAATAATCACTTTTATAAGTAAATAATTTACCGACAATATTTGTTAACTTTGTTAAAATCCCCTAATTAAAAAAAAATTAATTTTATTAAAAAAATTTCAGGGCAGTCAACAATCTTCAATTTACATCTAAATATCAAAAAAAACTTTGACAACCTCTCTTTGCCTTCCAATAACAAAACAAACTTTTCTTTCCGATTTTTATTATGTTGCGCATTTTCTTTGTATAATAAAAATTTGCAACAAATTTACAACTGACCAGTGACCAGCTTTTTATTTGGAAAAACAGAATAAAATAAATTAGCTACACAGCTTGAGTCTACTTGAATGTAAGGAATTATTTTGAAGAATATTTTATTTAAAATACAAAATTATAATTCTGATTTATTTAATTATAAAAAATATACAACTGCATTATTTAAGCTGCAAATTCTGATTTATCTTTTTTCTGATTTTTTTACAAACTTACAATTATTAATTCTGATTTTTTTAGAAATAATTCTGATTAATTTTTTAGTTGTTCTGATTCCATTTCTTCTGGTCTTTTCGCATGTGAAAAGCAGAATTATTCTGATTATATTCTCTTCACTCTAGTATCAACAACAAAGTTTTATTATTTTACTGTTTCACATTTTACGGTTTCCAAAGGCAAGAATATTTGTAATAATATGTAAAATAAAAAATATATTTTATTTTAGCGCCTTATTATTAAGTAAAAAAGAACTGCCCCTCTTTTTTAATTTCCCGGTGATTGACTAATTTTTTTCTCGGTTCAACAAAAAAAGAAATTTATTCAATATTCCTAAAAATTTAAAAATAGCAACAACTCGTAGAAGATTTTATTCTTCTTCTACTTCAACAACAAAAAGTTCAAATAATTTAAGTGTCTTAGAATCAATAAAAACGCCTTCAACAGCTATACTTCCTTCAACTTGTACTCCTACTAGAAAATCCTCTTCATTTTCTACTACGCCAACAAAAAAGTTGTCTTCTAAGGAAGTTAATAGTGAACAACAACAAATAATAGGCAAGTTTGGCATTTCATTTCAATTAACACGTTCATTTAAAGGAAGTACTGCTGCGCTGGGTCTGTCTTTACGCAGTCGCCAGCAGATGACTAGCATTGATACACACCAACAACAACAACAACAAAATCAACAACAGCACGCTGTTCAATCATCATTATCAACCCTTCCCCCTCCTTTACTTGTGCCAAGAAAAAGAGGACGTAAGAAACGGGATGAGAATATTGATGCACTTAATGAAGAAGAAGGAAGTTCAACACAAGTTGCTAATTCTCAAAAAATTCAAAAACCTCTAAAAAATAGACTACACGGAGGTGGAGGTAAAAATTGTTATTTATTTAGTTTTATATTTGCGGAGAGAACAGAATTCTTTTAAAATTTGCAAAAGGACAAGGGGAAAGAATGCTTCTTAGTTGAAACACCCTGTACATATTTTGTTATATCTGGGTTTACCTAATACGTTCAATTGGTGTCCTTAATTTTCTTTCCACATCTATCACTTTATATAAATCAACTTAAAAATAGATGGAATGCCTCTAGCATCTTCAGACAGTGGCATCTCTGAATCTAATGTAGTTGAAGACCCTTGTACAGTTATAACAAGTATGGCCGGAAATCCTTCAACAACTATGACGGCGGCTAATTCATCGAATGACGTATCACCTAGGCGACATCGTGATGCTAGTCATACTTCTATTAGGTATCATTTAGGAATTATTTTTGAGAATTTTTGTAAAATTGAGAATTTAATTTTTAAAGTGCCTCAACACCCGTCAGAGAGCGGCAGCTTCGTAGGCCAGGCGATTGTAAGGCACAGAAGCAATTAATAATTCCGCTGAAAAAACGCCGTGGGAGACCGCGGAAACGGCCGGCTGGTGAAGATGGAGACGAAGAAGAAGAGGAAGAACATGAAGAAATTGAAAGTGAAGATGATGAAAAGAAAAGGGAAGACGATGAAGGAAAGCGTTTATCTTTTTCTAGAAGGTCAGGACGTGTAGCGGAACAGGAACACAAAAAACGAGAAAAGGACGACGAGGATAAAGAGTGGGAAGGAATGATTATTAAAGATGGTGAAATTGAAATAAATATTGAGAGAGAGGTTGTCGAGGAAAAGGAGGAGGATCAAGTAAAAGAATATGAGGAAAATTTTAAGAAGCCTTCAGAAATGGATGGACAAAGTCTACGAGGTGATCAAATAATTATTTTTTGAGATGTGAGGGATTGGTTAATAAATGGCTAGATATCTTGTCCTTATCCTAGGCCTTGTTTTGTCTCCCAGGCCTTATTTTGTGTTCCAGGCAAGTATTGTCTTTTGCATCCCTGGATGCTTTCCCTGAGTCTTGTTATAAATTTTAAAATTTTTGTAGAAGAACGGATTTTGGAAGAACCTCTTCCCATGGAAGAAAATGAAGATGAAAATAAAGAAGATGAAGAAAAAGAAGAGAATCAACCCTCCTCTCAATTTCAACTCATTTCAACAACAACACCATCAAAATTTGTAAAAATATCAGAAAAATCGGCAACAACAAAATTATTATCAGAACAACGCCCTTTAGCAGCAAAAAGAATGCGTAAAGAAGAGGAAGAAGAAGAAGTAGAACAGAAAAAAGTTGATTTAATTGTTTGCAGTAATTGTGGGGATAAATGGCCAATTTCTGAGTTTGATCAATTTATTGAACATAAAATTGCACATTGTATGTTTTATCTATTAAAAATATTAAATAAAAAAATTTAAATTACGAAAATAACAAAGGACAAGAAAGATTTTTTAATTTTTTTTGTATAGCACAGCAACATTGTAGAAATTCTGATATTTCAGAATTTAATTCAGAAGACATTAATATTAAACAAAAAAGAAGTAATTTTCAACAGCCTGATAATTCTCAAGTCCCTCCTTTACTAAACAAACTAACGACTACTGGTCAATCTTCACAGAATCATTGTTGTTCTTGTTCCAACAATAAATTTACCTGTAGCAATGAATTAACCAAAAATCAAAGAGAAATTGGAACAGAAAATCCAAATTTTGGAGAAAAGAATGTTGGAGAACCTGGTCCATTCACCTGTCATTCTTGCAAACAAAAATGCCCTCAAATATGGGCGTTACTTGAGCATGTTTTTACGGCTCATGGTTTTCGTATATCAGACGAACATTTACCTAATTTTTGCTATCCACAGCTTGGTAGGTTTTTCTGATTTTAAATTCCGATCAATTTTCATTTTTTTTATTTTCAGTCTCTGCTAGTAGTCTAATCTCTCAACAACACTTTGCTTCTGTTTCTAATCCAGAGGCCTTGGGAGGACTACAACGGCCTAACTTTTTGACGGTTAAAGACCATCAAACGGTTACTAGACGTAGTAATTCTACCGGGGAATCCAACAATACAATGTCTGGAGGGGAAAGTCAACCAGTAACTCCAACGGCATCACTACTTACTGCAAGAAGTATTTTCTTTACCTTTTAGTTTTTCAATTTTTATATTTCCAGAGGCAACACGACCTCTTGTTCCCGCAAAATCTTCTTTCTCTCTTAACGCCTTCTGCTCTGAACGACTTCGAGAAATGGCAGAAAAAGCAGGTGGAGAAAGCGCAGCAAAAGATTCACCTCCACCACCTCCTTCAAGGAGGCTTATGGCAACAAATGATGAACAACAACAACAACGAAATACTCGCCAATCATCTAACAATAATCATTTAACAACAACGTTTGCGGAACAACTA